ACTGACTATCACCAGTTGTTTGAAACAAGCTAAACCAAATCCGCCTGAATTGTTAATCTGAATTTTCTTTGGGCCAGATTGACCAGTCACGCCACGGATGTCAGATAATAAATATAAAGTATCGGACTAGGTTTTAAGAGGCCCTACCATAGGAGAGCACGATCTAGACCCATGGACTTTTTTGGATATTGAGTTGAACCAAATATTCATGGATCTGCTTACCAACGAAGAAGTCAAAAACCCCGGCTTTGAGTGCCAATTTTGTATTTTTACTGACAGATTGAATAACTTAGACAGAATGGACAGAAACTAATCAAATTTTAATTTTTAATATACTAGGGATTTAGATAAAATACAGCTTTGTGTCAACTACTCAATACACAATTAGTTGTGGGGGTGATATAAAAAATCAACCCCACATTTACCAACCAATATACCATATGAGCCGTGATTGGCGCCAAAGATACCACGAGTGTTAGATACATGTAACGGATCATCCACAACCATTCATACCAGAAAATGGAACAATAATATAATAGCCATACTTCAGGAGTCATATTCTGGGGGTTTGTCATTCTGGATACTAAAATTTGGGTCCATTAGTTACCATGTCAGAAAAGATAACCCACATGCATCAAGGATCCCCGTCAAAGTACAGTGAAGGTGAACCCCCACCTGATAAGACATGTAAGATATTATATTATAGGCTATGTAATATTATGCCTGCTGGGACATCATTGGAAACCTGTGGCCATCTCTACTTATTCAAGTTGTTGTTGAACTCTACAGATCAAACTTATCTTAGATCAATCTAGCCTTACTCTAGCCTATCTTTGAGTCTTTACTTTTAGGCTAGCATACTAGGTGAATCCCACAGGAATATGTAGCACTATGTAATATAGTACAATCTGAGTCAATAGATCTGTATATATAATATCATAATTGACTCAGATCTGACATAAGCTAGTAGCGTTACAGACTTTAGTACAGTGGGGAACATAAAGAATTACTATAGCTATATGAAAATTACATGCTACTGCACTTGTAATAAACTCTTACCTCAGTATATTCAGTGCTCTATTTTCTTCGTCCTAGTAAGTCCAAATATAGTGGAATTTGTGTCCATAATGACAAATAAGAACTTCAAAAGTTTAAGTGGATATTCACATGTAAATGCCGACTTTTCAAATGTTGAGGTGATTATGGTGCCCGATTACACCGCAAGGAGGATTGGCTACCAGAATGCGACATGACACATGCCAGCTTTCAAAATGCCGTTCCGCTATTTTGAAACCTGTCACGAGTAAATAAGGTTAACTGATGTTGCATTCTGGGAGTCAATCCACCTTGCATCACAAAAATGACGATCCATGAAAACATTTGTTTAATTTGGTAGGGATTTATCCATCATTTGCAGGTATGAAGCTTTGGATTCATTTGTTGTGTATTGTGCTACTAAAGTGAACGGGAATTATTTTTCTACAGCTTGGGAGAGATTGAGACACGAAACTTAGAATTTAGCTCATTTGTTGATGGTTGAGGTTTATTTTTGTTCCTCACTTTAGTGCTACAAGTTCCTATGGTGAATCCCCAGGGTTTCTCATCACTTTCAACCGTATGCACATACGAACGTAATACTCATGCAAAAAGAAAGATGATATACTTACATATTAATATGGCTGGATTCGAGTTTCACAGACCTGGGATCACTTCAAAAATAGGCTAGATCTTGATATTTCGATTTTAGTCGCTTATAAAACACAAAGGTCAAGGTCGCTAGGTAGTTAAGACTCCACCTATTGATAAAAATTTCAAAAGAATAAATCCTTGACTTCAATAGTAAAAACACGGGTGACATCTATTTGAAAATAAAACTTATTTTAACTTCATCATTCCCTCTGGTGTTTGTGAATTATATTGGCATCTATTGCTCAACATGGAAGAGACTAGACCATATTTAAGAAATATAGACCGAAGAGCAGGGGTAATATTGTTGAATACACCCCTGAAGGCTAGGCACAAACGTTTTCGAAAGCTTTTGTGCCTAGCCCTAAGGGGTGTATTCGACGATATTACACCTGCTCTGAGGTCTATATTACGATTCGAACATGAAAACCCATCAAAATGTTTCGAATATTATATGGTCTGCGATTACTACGGTCCACCGTAATGACGTCACAAATTACATGTATTACCAGGGGCATTGTTCGCGAATATACCCCGGGTGAAATGTTGACTTTGTTTACAGTTTATAGAAGGCGTGAATACAGTCATTTTCGAATCATATATATCAGTAGTTGATACAAGTTCAGTTTCTTGAATTGGCATTGATTGGACATGGCTCTCTTGACACCCCATGAGAAGTCCATGGGCGTAGCCAGGGATGCGATGGGTGGGATCACACCCCTCCCCCACCCCACAAAAAAGATAAAAGCAATTTTGTAAAATTTGTTGAAAAAACATGAAAAAATATGTTTGAAATGCTTAGGACCCATATACAATGTAAATTTTGAAAAATCCAGGGGTGAACCCCATACCACCCTTTCTGGTGCTCACTTAGCTTTTGCAAACCCAAAAGAATTGCACCCCCTTGACAATTGCTGGACGAGAAACTGATATTCAATTGAATTCAATTAAGATCATTTGCTTCAAGGCTCATCTCAATGAAGTCTCACCAAATGTCTATATGATACCAAGCAATTCATCCGTAGAACACATTTTTTCTATTTAGCCCCCGCCCCATATCAGACACTGAGAAAAGTATAAGTAAAAGAAGCAGGAGAGTGGGGCATTCATATTCAAAGCTGTTTACGCATGCACAATTTGGTTTTCAATTCTATTTCAGGTTTTTCAAAAGAATTGAGTTAAAAGTGCCTGCTAGTTTCAATGCAGAGTTCACTAGTTTTGCAGTAGTGTAGAGATCACTAGTTTTACAGTAGGCAATATTTGATAAGTGTGTTCAAGTCACTTGAAGTCAAAGGTCAAGTAAATCGATCTACTACAGTACTAAGCTTATGCAGTGACATTTGATAGTTCTACATTTCAGCTTGTATAGTTACTTGATCCAACAAAGCACCTTCATTGTTAGACGGATCTATCAGGGACTCAGATATTGCAAACCCCAAATTTAAAACTCACTTTTTTCAAATCTACCATCTCGGGTTAAATCAAAACATATTCACAATTCTTATAACTTACAAATTGCTGATCTCATATTTCTCGGTCCCTGATTTCATAAGATAGCCTATACCCACCTATTTGTGAAATATTGAAAATAAGTTGTTGAGACTATTGAAATCATTGGAAGTTATTGTAGATTGGTGATATTTAAACTGAAAATTGCATGTTGTGAATTATACAATCATGCTAAACAGACTCAAATAAGATTTCTCATTCTCCAGGACAGGTTAATTTACTCCCAAAAATTGACTTTTCTTTACCATTTTGTGAATTGAACTATAAAAGGAGTGTGATTTCCAGCGTCAACCTTTCAATCAAATAAAAGACAATAACAACAGTTTTTGAGTTGGTGATTTCTATTTTCTATTTCTATAATTAGTAAATAAAATACAGAATACAGAACTTATAACTAAAATGATGAAAACAATCAAGAAATGACAAAATGTACTTTTACATGACCAATAGTTACAATTCTTTGCTAACATGAAGCTATATTTGTGCATGTGGGTTTTTTTATTTCTTGAGGCCAAAGGACATAATTTAGTAGTATTCCGCATCTCCCAAATGAGGTTGAGATATCCCACAAAACCCAAATGAAAATGTAGTATTTCACATCTCCCAAATGGAGGTTGTAATATCCCACAAAACCCAAATGAGAATGTTGTATTCTACTAAAAGCTCCCAAAGCAAATTTTAGTATCCAAGTTTCAAAAAAGAAGTCTCTCAGTAAAATTCATGCATAAATAAAATCTTCAGTTAACTAAAAGGTTGATCACTAAGCCATGGTTCTTGCAAATGTTCAGATCTAAGAGAGCATATCAACCATTAATGATGCTTCTAATGAATCCAAAATTTCTTCACAAGTTGAATTCGTAAAGAGATAATCTCGTTTCTAATAATGAAGCAGCAACAGAGCACAGAGCAATCAAACCATTACCACATACACAGTGTATATCGTCTTGCATAAGATTTTTCTCTCTATCTCCACTCTTAGGGGTTGGTGATGGGGGTTGAGAAATGCCTTATGCAAGACTAAAGTTGATTTGATTGACATACAACAGCATTATTAAATAGGGCACACAATAAGTCCTTGCCAATATACAAGGTTAACTCAATAATACAGAACTGCAGTCTCAGTTGTAAACCGTAAACATAGGATTAGACTAACTAAATATTTTCAAATATAACGTGAAAAGTAAACATTTAGTAACATCCACTAGAGGAGTATATACATAAAGGAATGGATTTTAACATACATTGGTATATGATTAAAGGGTATATGTGTGCACTTATAAAAACATGTATATGTATAAAGTTCAAACAATGTAGATATGTATATGATGTAACTGTTTATCACATTTTATATTGAACAATAAATTCAAGACTGAAGGTACTTACTACTGATATATGCACACTTCAGTTTCATTGCATTCAATATTGAACTAATGCAGAGATTTAAACCTGTTCTGAATACTTAGTTAAGGAGTTAAGAACCTCATATTTCAACAACATTATATTAGACCTAAGTTTGTGGTACCACATTAAAGTCAATGCATTTATCTTATGGTATTACATTGGCTAATGTAGTACCATATTACATAATGACCATTCTATATACATATATATGTTATCGTAATAGTGCTCCAATTTTTGTAGAAAAATCTAAATATACACACTAATGTGCGTCACTTTACAAACATGTACACTCTAAGTGAGTCTAAAATAACTCTTTAAATTATTACTTTCAAATAGAAGGGACTAAAAATACACACACTAACATAGTTTATCAAGGTAAATGATATTCAATCATTCAACATGAGATATCTGAGTTCAAAGTCCACATTAAGTCAATCTCCTTGAGAAGGTATAGGGACTATAATACAAGATTTGGGTGATTATTTAACTGCATAGATAGTATACCCATATAGCTTCTGGAATATGGAGCTTCTTAAATTGTTTAATCCTTTAAAGTATGAAATTTTTCTTTTGATTTACCCTTTTTGATATTTCTTTAATTCAATCCATTATAGTTGAATTGTTATATTGGGAATGTATGAAAAACTGGTCTCACAATAAAACAATACACTGTATATATTAAGTTTCTAATACCGGTATTGTACTGAACTTTTCTAAATATCCATTATGCTTGGAAATTGTTAGCTACCAAAGTCCTGAAAGGATTGGGTTGAAATTAAATTTGATAAAATTGTCCTAATTTCTATTTCATTAAACACGCATGTAGAAGGCAACAATGAGACTTGAGACTATAGCAGCAAGTGTGAACTGAACATTGCCAGAACCATTACATCCATCTGTACGGCAATAACACTGGGTACTGTATCCAGCAGCAGCCTCTTTTCCATAACATAATTTTAAATCATTATCGTCGACATGGCCGCAGAATCGGGACACAATTGTAGAATCTGAAACAAAAAATAAGTTTTTGTGATCTTTTTGTGCAATGTATAGTTTCAGTACAATGTATAGTTAGTTACCTTAACTATATCCAAGCTATGTCTAAAATTGTATGGTAAATTGCTGTGTTTGTGCTTTCTTGTTTTCTAAGCACTAAACAATAAATGGGGTCAATTACAGAATTCTCCCCAGGATTTTGTCTCAAATGGGTGTAAAATTCAAAATTTAGATCAAATTTAGTCAAAATGTGCACATTTTTCATGATTTCTATCATTTTCATTTCGAGGAGGTGCGAATGTATTCTTAGGTGGTGCAGGGCTACTTTTAAAATCTGAAGTGGGTGCAGGGCCCACTTGCTTAAATATTAGGGAGATCACTGAATCATACATCTGTAAAGGTGATGTGACCTTAAATCATTTAATAAAAAAGGTACTACTGTTTTCTCGAAACAAAAAATATGTAACTTACGGGCAGATGGAACCTGTTGACGAGTCTCTTCACTGGTAGCATGGTTTGAAATGGAGGTGCCTGTTGCCACAGTCTTCATACATACATTAGATTCAGGAGGACATGTTTTCAGAAACGTGTTGTCTTGAGCAGCATAGGTAACCTCGCATCCACCATCTGGGTTATCCTTGGTGTTACACTCGTGACATTTTAGAGCAGCAGAACCTGTAACAAACCCATATACAGACATTTATTACACAGTCCAATGCAAAGCCTAAAGAAAAGGCTCAAATAGACCTTTCCTGCCACCTTTTGCAACAACAAAGAAGCAAGGATATTTTGGCAATTTTGATGATGTAAAACTTTACATTAAAAAATTAGCAATAATCCAATGTTATTTTTGCTTAAAAACACTGCTACCCAGAACCTATGACAGAATCAATTTGCCAATATTGACATGACTAAGGGGAGGCATCAAAAGTTCGATGTCTGATCGGAAACTAAATAAATCTAGTTTTTACTCTGAACCCCCCCCCCCTCCCCAAAAACTAAATACCATTAAAGCTGATCGCTGACTTCCGGTTCGAGAATTTGAAAAATTATTGCTAAACACGATCTAGTTTTTGTTAATTCCTATCATAATTTGCGGCTTTTAACAACTATTGATAGAATAGAATCCATTGGAATGATCTTGACGAAGAAAGCATCAGGTAAAATCTTTATTCCAAGGCATTCTGAGTCGAAATAGCCAAAAATTTGAAATGTTGAAATTTGTCGGATAGCAAACTGAAATGGGTTTGAACCCCCTTCCCCCTAACTAGATTTATTTAGTTTTCTATCCGACATCGAACTTTTGATGCCTCCCCTAAGAGCCCTATAGATAATATTTGGCAGAAGAATTAGCACACTTGTGTAATACTATACTGAGATATAGGATCAATTATATTCCAATAATTTGTTAATGCTTTCCCAGCAGATATACTCATTAATTTAATAATAATGTATCAGCATTGGCACATATTTCAGATAATTTTGTTCTGTTATTTGGAAGAATCAATAATATGTAGAAATATGGATCAATGAACATAATTTGCCTTCCCTTTACATACCAGTTAACTTACTATAGCATTATACAGTATATAGATAGGGATGTGTCTAGTTGGTTCCTGGTATAGAGTCTGGCAAAATCAATCTTTATTAATAGACTATCTGTGAGCCAACAATCTACATTTCAATAACAGTTAGTAAGATTTGTGGTGTAAGATTACTATGCAGGTCTTAAATTCAATTAGAGTCCTGGTAAACTTTCCAATCAACAAAGAACACGAGACTCGAGAAAGGGTTCAAATTGAGCCTGTGCACTATTCATTCATTTAATCAGAAATATCAAAATACATATATACAAGTTAAAATAAGAATTTCAACCCATAAAAATAGAGTAAGATGAGGACTTTAACAACTAGAAATAAATATAATTAGCAAGATCTGGATCACATAAGATTACCAGGCCCATAGCCAGTAGGGGGGGGGGTTAGATGGATTTGAGCGTGTTGTTGATGTATATATGCCCCTCAATCTAATGAAAAAGGACATGAGATTTTTCTTTTTAATTAAATATGAAATTTTGTTTGAAAATCAATAAACAACTTCTGGTGTCTTTATTTCGTTCTTGACTATGAATCATCTGCCATTTTGCAACCCTCATATTTCATAATTCATAATTTCATTGAGTATTTTGAATCTAAAAAATAAGCAATCAAAGGACCACATTGAAATAGTACATGTATGTAAAAATAGAGACATTCATACAAGGCCTAACTTTTGTATATTCTGGTTTGTTTTGTAATTTGGCTATAATATGCGTGGCCTCTTATAATTTTAAGCTTCTCTGCCGAAAAAATAAACATGGCTGAGACTCCCTAATATAAATTACAAAAGGCCATAGCTTTGCTGCACAATATACCTAACTATCTGAAATATACAAAAGTTAGGCCTCGTTTCTATTTTCATAAACTGTTGCAATATGGTAATTTGTTTGCTTATTTCTTAAGGTCAGGGTGTACTTTGATGAAATTTCATAACCATGTGCTATTTTCAGATAAACATAACCCATTCCACACATTATCAACATCTTTCATTCTCACACAAGAGATGCATTAGTGTATCTAGACTATTAATTGAGGGTTGATAATTCTTCAGAATGTTTGAATAACTAGAATATTCAGTAGTTTACTTTTCAATATTGCAAAAAAATTTCCAACATTTACCCTGGCCGTAAATAGAATTTTGAATCGGACTTTAGGTGAAGATTAAATATGACGACGGGCAAACTACCAAATGGGCAATTTCTTGTCTGATTTTAACACAATGTGATGCAGGCTACATACAGTTCGGGACATAAATAAATGACAGGTGGATTTGCTGAAGTGAGAATTTCCCATGTTAAAAATAAGAGAATTTTCAAGAGGCCATACATCAGTGGATGAGATTATACAAAATGTGAAATATACAAATTTTAAGGGATATGTGTCTAGACAATATTGGAAATTATGGGCTTTCAGACGACCATAATTAGGAAATGGTGATCGAAAATCGACCTGTCATTTATTTTTGTCCCCAACTGTATATATATATATATGTTTCTTGAACCGGATGTAACCTCAGTTCGGAAAAGTTCGACATGCACTCAGAAATAATTTTTTACTGTTGAAATCTAATGTGAGCTTCAATCCGGTTGAAATCTATTGTGAGCTTCTATTCGGGGCTTCTATTGAATGCTCCCAAGACCAGAATCGGATTGGAACTAGGCTATAACAACATTTTTAAAAATGAAAGTTACCTTTTCTCCATTAGAAACAATATAATGAAATGTGCACATTTCCCTCCAAATAATAGAATATAAGAGGGAGGGGCGACTTCCAGGTTGACTAAAATGCCTATGGCCTTGATCGAATATATTGATGTTGAAATTTGGGGTACTCAGATAATTACTCGATCTAGATGGTCTAATTTCCTGAAAAAAGCTTTACTGAATGTTCCATACTTACTGAATGTAACAGCCATGGCTAGTACCAGACATGAAAGCATAGTGTGACGCAGATCCATGGTAGATGAGATAGGGAATTGCCGTACAGAAGAGACTCACTTTACCGAAATGACTGACCTACTTTCTAGATGCTGGAGAAGTGCAACGAATTACGCAAACGCCAACTTTAATTAATTTTGATCACGTGACATAAGACATTTTCGTCTAGTGATAATTTTTCCCGGGTCTAAAAACACTTGGCGTCCTTTGTTGCCAATTTAAGATACAAAATAAAAATTAGTTGGATATTGTTCAATGAAGAAAATGAGATCATTTTGTAAGTTTGGGAACACAATATCAAAGAATGGAGTGAACATTTTTATGTATTGTGCATGTAAAAAGTTTTGCAATTTGCTGGGGGAGAAAATCAGATTTATACCTATAAGAACAAAATAAAACAATTTTCTGTATCAAATATTATGATGACTGGTGTATTTTTGCTTTCAATTCAAATGAAAATAAATGTCTTCTATATTCTTATTGTGTCACCGTTAATTTTTTAAGCAAACCATCTTAGTATATCATCATGATATTAAGTTCTACAATCGATGTTGCATGATCAAATGAACACATGAAGATTCTGTTGTGTTCGTGATATGGCATTACATAGAGAAATCTCATATAAAACATTGTATTATGTATAGTATACACAAGCAAAAACAACAAAATATTTTAGTTTGTATTTTCTATTTCAAATTACACAAATATACATTATTGCTGTTATGATCTTATACATAATAGAGTCCTATACAGTCAAACCTTTCTAAGTGGAACACATTTGGTACCTCTAAATCCTGTTCCACTTGGGAGTTGTTCAGAGGTTCATTGAACATAAGTCAGTAGGTCTTAATACTCTGAAAAGTGTTCCACTAACAGAGGTGTTCCATCAGAGGTTTCACTGTATTTAAAATTGAATCATGCTTTCTTGAAGAATTTTACAAATGGAATGAGAATGTACTTCATGGTTCTCTTCATACATTGAGGTATTATTGCTCATTTATATACTTAGATATATTGTGGATCATATAGTCAGTTGCATTGATTCTCTGCTTTGTTAAATGCATGAGTGATTACAAAGCACATGCCGACTGGGAATTCCCAAAAAAATTTCAGTCCATTTCCTTAGCTAATACATAGTGCATGGTTACATAGTGAACAGAGTTCTGAAGATGAATCATTAATGGTCGAGAGTCAAGGCAAAAAATGAGCATGATCGATGCAATTAAGACAGGGTTAGAAATACAATTTGTAAATGTACAGAAATATAGCCTTTCGTTTGTTTAATAAAACAACATTTAAAATGTTTACAAAAGCACCTGACTCATCACACTCAAATATATGTTATTTCTAAGCTTTTCTTAATTAAAACTGTGTATTTACACTACATTCTTTGATTCATACATGTCTATAAGTTTGCTAATTACCAAAATTAAAATATAATGGAATGTATAAAAATCTATTTACAGGCATATAAAACTTTATATACAAATATGGAATGGTATGTTCAGTAACTAAAATTATTCACATGAAAATGTGTTTTCCATGACAGTGTGTGTGTAATCTATTCTACATTCAGAGCAGCTGATTCATAGGAATGAAAATTTCTTTGACTAATAAATTCAACTACTATAGTAATATATAATATATAACAGGAATGAATTGTATACTGATTATGTAATACAATGGATACTGATTGGACTTAAAAACCCTGCGATTCAAAAAATGTACAATTAATTTTTGAACACACTTAGAATTCAACATTTTGTAAAATAGTAACTTAAAGTGAAATATGTCTGAAACATTCAAGTTTTGTAAAATGATGACATATGTTTAAAAACACTTTTCTGTAGAATCCATGTTTAAAAAAAATCTGTAAACTCATATCCAGTTGATCGACAATTATAAAAAACTATTTTCAATTAGTCTCTATGAAAACCTAAGTCCTGCAAAAAGTGATGTAACTATGGCAACAATTGTAGCAAAATATTTTCCTGCATGAATTCCACGAGAGTTATTACATAGATTAGTGTCACAGAAGCATCGTCTTGTTTCCCCTCCATTTGAGGTCTGTGTCCAACATGCATGTTTTGCAGGAGCCTCCGGACCAGCGCATACTCGGGATATCACGACTGAATCTGCAAAAGGAAATAATTTACACATTGCTGAATTTACATAATTACTTAACTTTTATTTCAAAATGACAGCCATTGATTTAGGCGATGTAGCCCTGTCAAATGAATGAAACTTCCCGCATCTTTTAGGGTGCATCTCTAACAAAATAGCACAATAGAGCTATTTACAATACAGCTAGTTTTCTGGTCAATATCTAACCTAAATTCCATGATAAAACCAATCAAAAATTTTAATCAAATATCAAAATCTTTTAATAAATCTTCAACCCAATTTTCCTTGGTCTAAACGTGTAAACCTACCAGATGGATTATTCCAATAATAAAACAGCTTGATTCTAGTCTCAATCTTCAGACACGTGTGGCATTTGTTCCGTATCATTGGCTCTGTACATTTTACTCCATATCCCCCTTTGTATACATTACACTCATAACACTGTAGGGTACCTTCTCTCAATTGCCCATGGGCTGTAAACAAAGAAAAACAAATCTCAATAAACATCCCAAAACAATATAACAATATACGCAGGAATAGCAAATTGTTCAAAACCTTTGTTCGATTCAATCTCATAAATCCGCAAAATGAGAATAAGAGCAAATTTAATGTTAAGATTTTACTCAACAGTTATTTTTTCTCAGTTGCCTATGGCCAATATATCACTCCCTACAACCACGGGCTTTCAATCTATTGAATGTCCATGCTTTAACAAAAAGCTCAGAAAATGTAAATGTATAACTCTAATATGATAGGGTCCCTTGCCTTGGGCGCCATCTTTTAATGCATACTATTTCATTTCATATGATCAAATGATCATTTAGAATGGTGGTAAATGATAAACTGATTCTACAATATGAACTTTGATACCTTACAATGATAAAAAAAGATATCATCAAGTAATTTAATGCCTCAACCATTTAAAATCAAAGAAAATAAACACAAAGGAGGGCACAATAGGCAATATTTCATGTACACATTATTGTTTTATATTTTAGTTAACTAAAGAATCTACAATATTTATTTTCCAACAAATTTAACAAATTTTGCCTCAACCATTTAAAATCAAAGAAAATAAACACAAAGGAGGGCACAAAAGGCAATATTTCATGTACAAATTATTGTTTTATATTTTAGTTAACTAAAGAATCTTCAATATTTATTTTCCAACAAAGTTCAATGACAGCATCAGTTAAATAGCAAACCTTTATATTTTCTAAAGGACCAAGAATATTAATTATCAACAGTAGATAGATAGGGCTCATATTAAACAAAACAAAGTATTGACATGAATTGTCATCATCGGTGATTGGAAGTTGTAAGAATTTGTTACAGATGGCAAACTTCAAAGTTATATTCTTTATTCTTCCGAACTTTACTATTATAGGCTATATATTTTCTGAAAACTGAAAGGGGACATTGTCTGTTTAATTTTAACTGATACATACAGCCCGTTTCACTGTTTTATTGTGTCAGTAGAACCCCAAAAATATGAAATCAGGAGACCATTGCGTAATAATATATGGAAAAGTATATTCATATTGGACATGAATGATATTTGTATATTTCAGATTATTTAGTTTTTTCATGGGCATTCAAATAGAAAGCCCATGGTTCTTTGTGCAAGCCTATACCCTCTTGTAATTTAAAGAATTTCAGGCACGTTAATCTTTTTGAAAATACTATGGCAGAGAAGCATCAAAATATAAGAGGCCTTACACTTTATAAGCCAATCTAGAAGCAATCCAAGATATACAAATGTCATTCATGTACAATGGGAAAATATTTTTCCATATATAATTGCATAATGATCTTTTGATTTCTTACTTTTTAGGTTTTACTGACGCAATAAAACAGTGAAATGGGCTGTATCTGCATCACAGCTCACCAATTACGTATTCAAATCTTGTTTATAATCAAACTATAATTTGCGACATTTCTTCAATGGATATTTCAGATAGTTTGTATAATGACTTTTGTAGTTCAGAGAGTTTCAGCCACTTAATTTTTTCAAAAATAATACATGAAGCATCAAAATAAGAGGCCACACATTTGATAGTCAAACTACAAAACAAACCAAAATATACAAAATAATGTTTTTATTTTTCATATACTGTTTCAATATGGTCCTTTCATCGCTTTTTTTTAGATTCAAAATACTCAATAGAATTATGAATCTGACTTTACCATCGCAAACTTTAGAAAAATTGTTGTGTGATGACTCATTTATAATTTGATTATACAAGTGTTCAAAGGTATTAGAGTCCATTTCAGTGCTTCAGTTCGTCAGTAGAACGGCAAAAATAAGAAATTGGGAGACCATTGTGCAATAATATATGGAAAAGTATATTCATAATGTACATGAATGACATTTGTATATCTTGGATTGCTTCTAGTTTGGCTTATAAAGTGTGTGGCCTCTTATATTTGGATGTTTCTCTGCCATGTTATTTTCAATAAGATTAACATGGCTGAAATTCTTCAAATTACAAGACGACACAGGCTTATTGCACAAAAAACTAAAAAATCTGAAATATACAAATGTCATTCATGTACATTATGAATATACTTTTCCATATATTATTGCACAATAGTCTCCCAATTTCTTATTTTTGCCATTCTACTGACGAACTGAAGCAGTGAAATGGACTCTAATTGTATTGAATATATGACCTTCTTTATACATCTTATACTTTGAATGTAATCGAAGATACTTACCTAGGCATACAAACGCTAAAAGCGTTACAGATAGGAGCAGCTTCATCTTATTTCCGGTTTCATAAATATTGTTGATTTTTTCAAACTTTTATATCTGAAAAAATGTGATTATTCGTTATTCCTTGAATACAAAATCAAATCCAATGGTTTCATAAGCTGCAGTAGATATATCAGAAATATAATACCACTATAATGTAGCGATATAGGTGTGGGAAATACATGTAATAGTGCAAAGTATTTCAGATTTTGAGAAATATTTACCTGACCGCTCACCTGTGCGCAGTGCATCTTGGGAGTAAAAATAGTTTGGTAGATTTACTATTTCTGACAACGCCAAATGAAAAAAAAAGTATTTATAGTATATTGACATTTGACACACATGAATCTATTCTACTATATCATTGTATTAGGAACATGTAAATTGATAAAAGTAAATCTTTTATTGCTGGATATATTCACACTTATACTTTATAACAAGAGACAGAGAGTCAGGACACATGCACTGACGGATACAAGTCATCAGGCCATAGGAAGACATGTTTAGCATCCTTTGTTTCTTAACACTATATATTGAATGGCCCTTGTATTGTCCTTTTTACACATACCATAGCCCATGCACATACATCTCATAGGTATAAGAATTGATCTGTTGATAAAGTTCCAATCAACATCTACAATTTATTTTTGAGATCTTATGTAATTTACAATTCAAACCTCAAGTGCTGAAGATGTAATATGAATGTTCAATGTCATAGGGTAAGAGGAGAGCTAATGTTGGGAAGGGGTTCACTACATAATCATGTCATTTTTGCAGCCAACCTAAAAATCCATTTTATAACTAGTGGAACTATTGTCTCTATATTTGGACTTGTAGGGGCTCCTCAGGTACATTTTGTACTCACATCTTCCTTCAACCATTGAGCTAAATGTTCATAAATAATAAGCATTTTCAGAAAAAAGGCCGACAATTTTTTAAAAACTTAGCCCAATTTTCAATGACCCAAAAGATTTTAAATCTTTTTCCACCAAATCCCCTTGTAAACTTCTCAGAGGTCCATCCCTTACAATTAACTAAGACACTATTCTACTGGAAGTGTGGGGGTGGAGTAAAACAGGCACATAAAAATAATACACAACTCTACAAACATAAAACTAATATTACATGTCTAACTAAACAGGATTTATTCATGAAAAAAATTCTACAGCATAACTTGAAATAATTTATTCAAATAAAATTACATACAGTTATACAATCATGATAATATAATTGGGATAATAATCTAAACGTTTAGACAAAAAAGAAAACACACCATTTAAATTTACTACAAACTCGTGTACACACAATGAGATTTATTTCAAAATTGAGCCGGGCACAGGAAAATGGGTCTTATCACAGATTTTTGGAATATTTTGATTTTCTTGTTTATCTGAAAAAGCACAAAGAGATCTTTCAAATGACCCATGGTGTCTTAACAATTTTCCTTGCTGATATAGACCAAAAAGATGGAATTTAGTACATTTTCTCTTAATCTTGGGTACATTTTTGTTTCTGAAGCGAAATTTAAATTTTTCATTTTTACCTTTGCATGTTGGAAAATAACACTGATAAATTGACTTGTTTGGAAAAATATCCAGAGAGTTTCAATTACTATGGTCAAAGTGTCCACATATATTTTATTCAGTTGTGTGTCAACATTTAGACCACACTGATAAATCGAGAGAGTTTCAAATTGTGTGGACATAAAAATACTTATTTCCCATCCTGCTCTCAACCCATAACCAAAGACAGATTTATGGGGCTAACCAGAGCACAATGTATTTTATCCCTTATATTCTGACCTAGGATATTATTTTCTAAAGCATAGCCAAGCCCTTGGAATGAACCTGATACTATTAGAGTCACATTTTTTGTATTTAATATTGTTTTCCATCTTTACATACTATACCACATAATGATCAAAGAATACAGCACAAAATTTGAAACATATAATTTGATCAAAAAATAAATGAAGGACCCACGGTCCTGTGCTCACACAGTTTGGAACCTTCAGAGGAATTTATATCCTGACTTTCAAACAAAAATATTGATTTGGATTTGTAGTCTCAAACTTTGAGAAACTTAGATAGCATAGTTTTGTGACCTAGTTTGATGACCTTTGACCTTGAAAATTTTACTTATTCAGAGCTCAGTAAGGTCTTTTGTGATAAAGCTGACCCAAATTTACATCCAAAAATCAATTTGAAAAATCAACTTTTTTGACCTTTCGAAGGTCACTGAAGGTCAAGTAAAGGTCAAATCCTAACACTAATGTCAGATTTGAACTCCTGGCAACTTGTAGATGATTTTCAAAAAAAAATTTGGTCAAATTGAAGCAAGTTGAAAAACAACTTATTTTTACTGTTTTTTGACGTCAAATATCTCAAAAACGGTAAAAATTTGATGTTGACATATATCGAGAAATATGTAGGGAATGCTTAAATCTATTAGTGATGTAATTTATTGCAGGAAATGATCAAGTATAAGGCAAACTTTAAGAATCTTGTCAATCACAAAACCTGCCATTGACTTTATACATGAGAAAGTTTCCTGAAAATGACTAAGTCCTACTTTTTTTCAAATTTTATAGAGTAAACACCAAAAACCGTAATTCCAAGAGCTTTGAAATCTTCAGAGGACATAAGTTGCATATACACCAACTACTAAAAGTTATTTGAAAGTTCTACTTCAACAAAGTGTCTAGTATTTACAGAAAATTTGACTTTTTGACGTCAAAATCCGCAATTTCTCGGAAACCGGGCGAACTTGGGAAATGGCGATGATAGGTCAAATAGGCATTATGGATATGCATAAAATGAATGTGGATATGACTCAATCCGAATAGCAGTTTTAATTTGTGCGGCCAATGTTGACGGACGGACGGACGGACGGACCAACGGACGGACGGACGGACAGACGGACGGACGCCTGGTCAATCCCATAGGCTCACTGTGTGAGCCAAAAATCACAGTTTAATACAAAGTTCCCCAGGCTGGTCAACTTAAGAATAATGATCCCTGTCTATTAATTTAATATAAGGACTCGTTCTTGGAACTGTGCCAGATTGATTTCCTAAATTTCAATTTACATGAAAAAATTAAGCCTTAGAAGTCCATTCAACAATCCAGTGAGATTCCTTTTAATTTTGAACAACAAAACCAGGTCTGTGACACCTCATCCTCTTGTTTTGTTAGTTCTAACCAAATAAATAACTGTTTCCCCACTTTTTGATTTAAATACAAGATGAATATTTATGGGTGGCCAACTACACCTGGGAGGAGGTGACATTACCGTTATACCCTCATTTACTAACGAGAGTAACTACTAACAACCTACATGAATTCAATTTTTTGGAACACCACATGTATTGGGTACTGTCAATCAACAGTCCCACAATTTCCTCCATATGAGCTAGAATATTGCATAATGTCATTTTTTGTTCATCCAGTACTTTCCACATTTCTGACCTAGAATATTCTGTACATGTTCACGCTGAACAATGACACTTTCAACAGTGACACATCCAACAGTGCCATATTCAACATTAAAACATCTATCATTGACACATTCATCATTTTCTTTTCACCCATTAATAATATATATCCTTCAGCATCCTCATTCTCATACTACCTACCTCTCAAGAGGTAGGTACTGTATTCCAACATTTCTGCCTCTCTAGTCTACATTCACATAGTTTATAGCCCACTTGAATTTTACATTGCAGAAATTATCAAGAGGCACTGTAGATAGAGGAAACAGATTAATTCTACAATTTCTGTCTATATAATACTCTGTGCTAATGCTATACACCAGCGAAAAGTCACATCTTTCAACTTGACAAGGGAAAGTCAGATTTTTATTTTCCGAAAGTGATGGCAATATTTTGTTCATCGATGTCCTCGACATATCATCAATTGAGTGTAGATTGTTGGACACTGAGGGGCTAAGTGAACTGGTCTCATAACCGGATCTCCACTCTGCACACTGGACACGTGGGGTTCCCCTGAAAAATAAAATTGACCAGTTCAATTTAAATAAGCAACATGCAACTGAAATACCCTTTTCATAATTCTTAAATTAGAATGTCCAGATATGCATCTCCAAATCATATTACAACAAATATTCTCAAATTCAGAATTTTAATTGAAGCTAGTGGTTTCCCTTTTATGCTGCACATGATGATATCAATAAATATGGGTAGTTCAATTTGGTAAATTATCAGTAATTTTGATAATACAAAGTTTAGTATGGTTTTTATTCAAGTCAACAAGTCAGAATTAGTACAAATATAACAAGGGCCAAGGCGGACTTCAACAAAATATTCTAGCATCTGAACCCAAATCCACTGATTTATATGCGTATAACAGCTTAGAAACATTGAACTTTAATATGTATTTTAGAGATTATGTACCAATTTAGCAATTAAAATGAAGTTAATAAGTAGATAAGACAAATTGAGGATAAAACTGATTGCTACATTAGTCCACTTATCATTACACGAATCATGGAACTTTTTCAAACATCTTCACTTTCACCTGTATTATAGAGATATATCATTAAACAATTCTATTTATTTAATTAACAAGTAAACAAAGTTGAGGAGATTGGGCAAAATGAGAATAAAACTGATCATCACCTTAATCCACTGATCAATACACGAATCATGGAATTCATGGAAGCATGGCAGTATTCGTATATTTTGATTTTCCTCATATTCACACATGCAAACATTGCACTCTGCCTCGGGGTCTCTGGCATCAGCAGCTACATATTTTTTTACAGGAAGGAGGTTGATTTGGTGAGTTGTAAGACCTTTAGGCCTGGCGTCTCCTATCATATCACCAAGCTCTAACAACACCTGGAGCAAATCAGAAAAAAATATTGAAAATACATGTACATGTATTTTGAAGCTTTCATTTTCTTATTTAATTTGTATGTATAGACTTGCTTTAAGCTCTTCTGACCTTTTCTTCACAACACTCATCTCCATATTCATGACCCAGACAATACAGACAATATCTCTTTAAAATTGCTTAAAGAACCTAATACTATAAGTTATTCTGTCTCGATATTCTGTATTGGCACTCGACTTCGTCTCGTTCCAATACAGAATTTCTCGAGCAGAATATATCCTGTATTGCACTTCAAATCATTCAATAACGTTTTTATCGTGTGATCCTCTGTATTGGTACTGAGTTTATCCCCTCCGTACCAATATTTTCTGTATTGCGACGGAGATGATCAACAGGGACAATCTCAGTAGCAATACAGATTGGTACAGCACAAGAACTGACCAATCACAGGGCTTCATTTTACAGATCATATGATAATAAAAGTTATACTATGGAAGACTAGTTTTCATAAAAAACAGTGAAAGCAGTGAAAGTTCAAAATAACGAAATAATGATTGAACATTATAGTCTGGAAAGTACTTGAGTAAAAGCTGTACAGGATCTAAAACACATTTTCAACCTTGAGAAAAGCCTGAGCATTTTAATGGTTGTCCTTAGACTCTCCAATGATGTACATTGATTGCTTAGTCTTACCTGGTAATCATCACCAGGCACAGCTGCATTCCTACGACCTCTACGACCCCTGGCTCGACCTCCAACCCTTGGCCTGTTTGGCTAAAATATATGAATGATGAAAATAAATATTTCACTATTGACATCAATCTATTTTTTGACATTATTATTTTGTACATTTGTTTTCACACAGGCCAGTCAGGAAGTAAGGAGAGAGATTTTATACTTTGAAAATGAAATTGCTATATTGTAAATGGCATAATGACAACATACATTATGGACATCAACTTTCATATTCTCAGGTTTCATAGTCTCATAGTGTTTAAGTCATGGTAATATGAATCAGAAGAATGAAGTATCGTTTTTATTAATTAGCTGTAGAATACATTAAAATTAAGCATTTAATTTGTATACTGTTTTTAGATTTCAATGTAAATGAAAAAAGTCCATGCTTCAACAGACTGCTACATGTACATACAAAGTTTATTCCAGTCAAGATCATTAATAGAAGTTTTAACATGTTTAACATGTTTTAAAAGTATATCAGAACATACTTGTATACGATTTGCCTGTAATACAAGTGATTACTATGGTGCTTGCAGTACATTTTTATAACTTCTATATGGTGAGTCACATTTTTCATGACCATGTGGCGAGTCATGATTTATATGTGGTGAGTCATGATCTTTATGTGGTGAGTCATTTACTTACCCTATTCAAAAATGTTAAGACACCAAGATCAATTTGGGGATCCATATCCATCATAGCCTGCATTCCGTGTACCATTCCCATCCCCATACCTGCTGTGTCATTCATGAAGCCCATATTATGTGGAAGCCCAGGGAGCCCCGGAGCACCAAGGTTAATAGCCTAGAAATTCAAAGTAAAGAACAATAAACAGGTTGTGTTTTTTTTGAGATAATAAAAAAACATTGTCATTTAAATGGGGTAATGTTATAACACCACACGTTTAAAAGTAGAGGGACTAACCCAGAAAAAAACTGAAAACAGTGACTCCATGTAGTGGCAAATCCCATTAAACAAAACATCTAATAACTGGCCATTCTGAATTGAGTGGTCATATTGAAAAAAATTTCTCCATTAGAGGTCCTATACCCATAAGGCATCAGTCTATTTGAACCAAATATGACATATGGTATGTGAGTTTTCACTTGGAAAGAAAAACTAACGAAAACTAACTAACTATATCTGTACTTGAACGTTGTTCAGTGTGATAATAACTCAAACCGACATATGAAGTAGGAAGGTCTACCCACCCTGTGTACCTGCCACTGGTCATCTGTCATTGCTCCAATCCTTTGTAGCATGTTTACATCATGGTCTAGGTTTTGCACTGGAAACACAATAAAGTTAAAAAAAAAGGCATTAACATGCAAAATGTCACTACCTGCCATTTGTTACAGATGCCAAACACTGAACACCAACTGCCGTCAAAAAAAGTTTGAGACTATAATAAAATGTTACCAATTCAGGTGGTAACATGAAAATTAACAGAAACCAGAACGTACTTAATCCAAGCATCAATTTCCTTCAACACTATAAGGTCTGCCAACTAGCATGAGGTAATGGGTACTAGGTAGTATTATATATAGCTATTACCACACCACTACATATGGGCCATCTCGTAATTTTAAGCAGCTACTATATTTGCTTCTTATAATACTTGAATAATATTGTAGAGTTGATTCTTCTTATTTTACCACACTTTTTAAAACAGATTACCAAAGGATCTACTTACAAAATGCTATCCGTTCTGCCTCACCTAGAGGTGGTTCAACTACTCTGGCTTGTCTTGGCCTCCGTACACGTGGGTGGGGGCCGGTTGTAGTCCTGGTACGCCCCACCCTCACAGGTGGCTGGGTAGGACTCCTGACTGATGTAGTCCTCGATGCCCTAAACACATATAATAAACATTGCCATTCTTTCAACTTTAATATAATCATTTCACTTTTTTTTAATAGTATAACACATAAATATTTTGAAATAAGACTACCAACAGACTTATTGCATGTACATATTGCCATCTTTTCAAAATTCCCTTGAATTTGGTTATTTGCCTGTTTGTTTCCTAGGTAGCTTACATTGTCAATTAAACTTTATCACAAGACTGTTCATTCAATTTCACCCCACTTTTGACTCGATAGCATTCAAGTCAAATTATCTAATAATTAAAACCTGAAATGGCTGCATGTTGCACCCTAGAGGGCTAAATAGAACTAAATATTACTATAACTAACCGTGTCCTTGTGCCTGTAGAGCGAACTGGCCTCACAGGGGACCTGGAATTTAAACCAGGGGGTGCAGTTGGCAATGGAGGTACACCAACATCTATGTCTTCAGACCCAGAGTATGCTGGGATACCTGGTGGCTCCCATAGAGGCATTGTAGTTTCTGAACTGAATGCTGGGATACCTGGGGCATTGTGTTCTGCTTGACGATGATTGGATAAAAATGCTGCATATTCATTATCCATCTCAGCCTAAAATAAAATACAATTTCCATCTCAGTTGAAGCCTACAGAGCCTAAGTCACATTTGTGGTCTAACGACGGCCATAGCTTCACAAAATCGATATTTAAAATCTACATCGTATCGCTTATCCCTATATCTTATACTGCATATTTCTCTCAATTTTGGGAAGCTACAGATACTGTACGACCACTGTAGATCAAATGTTACTGAGGCATAAGTCTCACATCAAGCCCTAGGATGCTCACTCTCATATTAAGATACACACCTTCTAAATAGGAGAGCTTGATACAAGACTATAAACACAATGAGTAGGCTTGACAAAAATACTTGTCGGTGGCATTCTTTCGTCTTCACATGACACAGAAAAGTTCATAGAAATATTTAGATTGACTACAACTTATCTTTTGATGCTAACTAACATTTCTTTTACCTGAAGACGTCTTGCCATGGTTTCATCATCTTCTATTTGCTGAACTCTCTGTACTGCATCTCCTGGTGAATCTACATCATATAAAAAACAACATACATGTTATATTGCAAATATTTAGGTTATGGAAAAAGCATTTTCAGAGAAGCCATTCAAATACAGTTAAGCAAAACCACACTGGAATAGCCTGACAACGGTAAAGTCAGATACCGTTGTCACAAATGGCGGACATAACTGTCGCTTCAATTAGATTTTTATGAACTGTATGTTTAATAGAGCACCTAAACTAAATTCCTTTGGAATAACAATCAATCAAAGTGTCTTTTTACTCATTGTGCAGTTAATAATTCCCTACTTATATTCCTAAAGAGATTTTTTTGATTACTAGACAACCAGCCAAGAATGGCACATTCAGCACCTCTCTTTAAGAAGTACAACATTTTACCTGTAAACCAGGTGTATGAATTTAATGTTTCAAATTTTGTCTATCGTTGTATTTACCAGGAACCTGTTTATTTCAAACTATATAATGATTATTTTAATCAAAATTAATATTTTCACAATTATCCTACTAGAAGAAGTCATGATTTACATGTTAGGGCTTACAAAACAAAAATAGGGTTATATTTAATCAAAGTACAGGGTCCAAGAATCTGGATTTTTGCCTTCTTTACTTCAATTTAAAATGACTAGAAAGAAAAACTTAATTGTTAAAATATAATTCTATACTATCACCTCATCTACCTTTCCATCCATACATTTTCCTAAACCAAAATAGAGTTAACACATATTGGCAGCCACAACCCACCACCACTGGCCATAAGTTAGATGCATACATATGCTATCAATATGTATAGTTATTATTGAATTTTCATTTTTGTCACTAAAACAACTTCATACACTTGTTAAAGTGTCAGTTGATGTATAATTTATGTATCATAGTTTGACAATAAAGTTATGTAACTAACTAAAACTAAAGTAAACCAGAACAACGGCAATGCCAAAGCGTAGCGAATCCCATCGAACAGAAATGGCTGGCATTTTTACAAACAAAATATATAGCAAATATCGTAAAATAACATCCATAAGAAAGGCCACCATTTTCAAAATAGTTGTCATCAGAAGAAGTAATATGCTTTTAAGTATCCACATATTCAAAAAATCGCACACACATACATGTAAATGCTGGTCATTTTTTAAAATGGCCACCTACTACCCAAAATGTCATAAGACAGTATGCAATCCTTACGAGTATTCACATATCAAATATGAACAAAATCGCTCTATTACTTTTTGAAGTATTATAAAAAATGTAAAATAACACACATAAAAATGGTGCGACTACTCCCCAAAATTTTATTAGACAATGTGCCATGCAAGGTTCATAAGTATTCACATACCAAATATGAACAAAATGTCATTAGACAGTGTGCCATGCTTATAGTATCCACATATAAAATATGAACAAAATCGCTCTACTACTTTTTGAGTTATAGTAAAAAATGTAAAATATCACAGGTAAAAATGGCGGCCATTTTTCAAAATGGCCACCTACTACCCAAAATATCATTAGACATTGGGCCATGCTTAAAGTATTCACATACCAAATATGAACAAAACCGCTCTACTACTTTTCAAGTTACAGCAAAAATCGTAAAATGACGTGCAAAGGCAGCCATTTTTCAAGATGGCTGACATGTATTTTTTCTGTATTTACATTTCTAGCTTAATCAATGTCCTATATAACTTTTTTACATTGAAAACATATTGCTATTACAGTTTTATATGCAGTACCTAAATTACTGTAAAACCGGCACTAAAATGGCCGCCATTTTTAAATGAGCGGCCATTTTGAAAATCAGTTTTCGAGCAGAACTCCTATCCCCATTGGGTATATGTGTACAAAATATGAACAAAATCGGGCCAACGGTATTTGAGTTATTGCCCGGACAGACGGACGTACGGATGGACGGACGAACGGACGGAGGCGTTCCCTATATCCCTTCGAACTTCGTTTGATGGGATAATAATGTTCTACCATCAAAATAAAGTCTTTAATTTAACCCATCAAAATGAGATACGGGACAACAGACACTGTATTACCATATGCCATTGTCTTTGTAAATTATTTCAATTTCAGATTGCGACCCAATTTGATCGAAATTGGAATTTCATTTGATACATCATCACAAGAGCTTAGTACATGCACAGAATTAGCGACGATAGAATCCCATGTATTGAGAACCAAGTGATTTAACAGTTGAAGCGACGGATATGTCCGCCATTTGTGACAACGGTATCTGACTTTACCGTTGTCAGGCTATTCGGGCTACTAAGGAACATGTTTTTAAACCATTAAATGGTATCAAAAACACACCATGATGATTAATTTTCTGATGACTTTGGATAGTTCATCATATGAAACATGCAGTGATTTCCTGATAGGTGTCATTTTAGAGAATCATATTTAAAACAATATGTTATCTCGGCAAATCTTAAATGTTTCTTAGTCAGAAAATAAGAATGAGCAACTCGAGATAACGCTGTTTTGGTGACAGAAGTCTCATACCTGCCATTCGTCCTGGAGATCCTTCAGCATCCCTATGTCTTGGAGAACTATTATGATTCGTTAACCAATTTCCCGGTCCATCAATAAAGTCAATAATCTCAATGCTGTTACTACGACGATCACCCCTCCTAGTGATTGGATTGGACGATTTCGTTGGTTCAAGAGATGGAGAGGATCTGGCTACTTGAGATCTCTCAGAAGTCATTGTTGTCAAGGATGTTGTAGCAGATGACGATGCAGTTTCCCGTTTTTTGCGCTTTCTCGGAGGACCAGATATGATTGGCATAGGGGAATTATTTGCTGATTGTAAGTTTTTACTACAATGTTTTGAATTGCCTTTGGTATTATATGCGGGGAAACTATCAGTCAGCATATCTTCAAGACCTTGAAGGCTTGTATTAAGTGTGGCTACAGTGGCTGAGCTACTTGGGGGCCTGTGTGATCTATGTGGTGAGTCATTACTTCTATATGGTGAGTCATGGTTTCTCTGATTATGTGGTGAGTCATGCTTTCTTTGTGGTGAGCTATGGCTTCTAATTGGACTCAAGTCATCTAAGAAACTAAACATATCACTAGAACTGTTTGCTTCTGAAGTAGTAATAGGTGAATCCATCACTTGGTTCCCATATATTCTACCATTTCTCATACAGTTAGGCGAATGGCTATTTGATTTCACACTACTCTGATTGCTTTTGCCATTTTTTGACCCCTTTGTATTGTTTTTCAATACAGTACTTCGAAAAAGATCACCATTGTGCTTCACCAGCCTTTTCTTTTTCACATTTTTATCAAACATATCATCTAAGTTATCACTATCATTAGTTTCTTCTTGAGATGTCACTTTGTATTTGTTTTTAACCTTTGATTTCTCATTTACATTACCCAAATCAGCAAGATTAAAAAAATCATCACTACTACAGTCATCATCATCAAGGGGTCCTCTGAGTGGCTTACTCAAAGTGTCTTTATGAGCTGCACATGTTGCTGTTGATGAAACAGTCCCATTATCACGTGTTGAGAGTTTATTCTTAAATTTAGAAGTCTTTTTCTTGGACATTTCTTTATTTTTCTCTGCAAAGAAGCAACCAATGGATCAATATATAAATACAATGTAGTAACATTTTAATAAATTTTAAATGACATAAAATATTTAATGTTTCTAAGCAGCCATTGTCTCAATTTTGGGGATGCTAATTTGTCAAATTGTTTTAAGTTGTATTTTACTTTACAACTGACATTTAATCAAGAGAAATAATTAATAAAAAATATGTGATATTGTTTCATCTATTTTTGAGGTGAGTTTAGGTTGCCTAGTTGTAGATTGGTTTTGTTTATTGTAGACTGTAATGACCAACATAATAAATGGATACGACATCATGATCAGAGAGTACTTTTCGAGAGTTCCATATTTTGGTCACCCTGTATAAATTTTGACAAGAACCTACTTGGTGATATTTTCTGCATGAAGGCCTCAAAACCATCAGAATCGTCTGAATCGGTATGCATATAAAACTGATCTGTAATCTTAGGCTTGATTGATTTTAACCTACTGGACAATGTTTGTGGTGTTGTATTGTTTTGCACTTTTCCGTTGACTGGTAAATCATTGTCTATCTGTTGTAGAATTTTACTTGTTGGGTCATACTCATCTGTATCACTATCAGATACCAGCTTGATCGCATTTTTCTTATGTTGTACATTTTTCAATGTATTTAAAGCAGCCTTTGAAAATGTTGATGATTTAGATACAGTTTTTGTCTTTTTCGTTGGTTTCCTGACTGTCTTCAAACTAAAAAATATACAAAAGTGAAAACATAACTCAAAAGTAACTAATATTCATTGCCATACTAAAGATTCCAAGACCAACGAAACATTCAATTTTTCTTATCTATAGGGGGCATAAGGACTCAAAAAGATACAAGGTAATTATAAAGATTACGTATATTTCTATAGAGATCGGAAGGAAAAATAAAATAACCATTAAATAAATTTCAGAAAAATAATGATAATATTTCATTTTTGTCTTACTTTGGTAGAGACATGTCTAAAGACGAATCGCTCATCTCATCTGGTGGCATACAATTCTGAGGTATTTTCAACATTTTTCCTGATGGCCTAACATCTGAATGTTGTGCATTATTGTCCTTTTTAGGGAGTCTCAACGTTGGCTCCCAGTCAGAATCAGAATCAAAATCTTCAGTGAATTTGATATTTGCCATTTCAATACTGAAACAGAAACATATATTTTGAGTGCATCCATGTGTTAGATATAGAACTTATCCCACTTCTAAGAGTACTATTTATCTTGTGCCAAGATCATCCCTACATTCTGGTCTAACACGTATGTAATAGGGGTTACATTATATTAAAATATTGGAGAATTTTCCATGCCTTGCACAGTGCACTCTTAAATTAAAATTGGTACCTCAATAAATTCCTGAGTATGTTAGGATTCTTTTACATTAATGTAGTTGAATCCCACATTCAATGATTTAGTTGGCAGAACAACGAAGTTTTGGTTTTTAAAAGCAGTTTTTTGTGTTATTTGACTTCTTCTAACCATCAAAATTCCTCCATCGATCTATTGGTACATTCAGGTTCTGCAGCACCAGACCGAGATGTTATTATTGGGATTCCCCTTTCGCCATCTTGAAAAAAGGTGCAATCTTTCTCAATAAAATGAAAATTTCCTCATTCTGCTGATAAACCTATATGATTTGGGATTCAACTACATGTAAAAAGTAAAACCCTATTGTAGAGATGACTTGAAAAGTATGTGATCTTGAAAATGGGGTAGACAAGAAAACCCGGGCAAGAAAATCCCTTTCTTAGCATTCAGCTCAATATACATTCTAATTTTTAATGCGATGTTAGGCTGTCATAATCATCATCAGATTCAAACTTGCATGCAGTGTCTCGGAATTGACACTGTGGCGGGCAGATGGGAAAAATAACCAAAGTTTGGTGAAAATAGTTCCTTTTTTCCTGATTGGCAGTATTACGTTTAACAACCCAGTGTCTGAATTGAAGCATAGTAATATTCAAGAGGTCCGAGCGGACATTATAAGTTCAGATCGTTAAGACAGATAACTCAAGTTCCTATAGTTAAGTCAGAATAAGTTAGTGATAGGACTTAGGCATATATACCGTATTCAGCGTAAAAAGCGTCCTGGGAGCTTTTGAAATTTAAATTCCCATTTTAACCCATTACAAAGAGCGCCCATGTATGAAAGAAGTAAAAAATCCCCGGGAATTTCATGTATGGGAATTCTTCTTGTCAAAAATGACTTATTTGCAACACCAAAACGAAAGTAACAGCATCTTTAAACAATAATGATATGTATCGTTATTTAAGAGAATACGGTAAAGATCGCTAGAATAAAACTATATTGACAGTGGTTGAAGAACTCCCCAGCAGTGCCCCTCGAGGTGAAGGAATTGTATTCCGCGATTATTTTCAATTATTTTCAATTTTCCCTTATAGACTGTTAGATATTTATCTAAAGTTATGCCTTATTTTTTTAATTTGATGATAGATCATCATTTTTCATGTAAAAGTCGTGTAAAAGTTGAGGAATCTAAAAGAGAAACGGGAAAGTTCACGACCTTGACAAATGCTATTTAGAAAAATGTTGAAACAAAACTCTGAAACGTGGACTTTTCCTTCATTCATGATTATGGACTATGATGTGGGAAGCACCCACTGATAGATATTTATCAGAAGGATGCATCAAATTACAAAATGCGTCACATTTTCTGCATTCTAGTGTAAGTGCTCTATTATCGCCCACTCTATTTCTTTGGAAATACTTGGTCATTCCTCGATATTTCTTGAGCTCTGTGAAGCGGGGTGGGCGCTTATTAGGGGTGGGCCCTTATTACGGCAATTATGGAAACCATACTTAACAATATAGTTTGTATTACAATTGCTTACATGTAACATTGTAACTTTATATATTTGCATTGTACTAATGTATTATTTGCATATTCACATTTTTTCTAAAAACATAAAATATGGGTCTAGCCCTTCAAAATGGGGGCTTGCTTCATTTTCTTGGTCATACATTCATTTACATTTTATATTTTCATTTTTTTATTTTTCCAAAAAGCGAAAAAAACTAAATAGAGTGCTCCTACCAAAACGGATTTGCGTATATACCCCTGCGACAGAGACTCTTATCTGATAGATAGAATGCACAAATAAAGCAAACGTTTTACTATTATAGGCAGAAAGTTCTCTTAAATTGCGAAGTGATTTTACCTAAATTCTGTCATTGGCCCGCCATTTTTGCAGGGGTTGCAGTGAAACACAAACTCCATGGAACAAAATGAAATCACCAGAAAAAAACATGGAACACATCGTACGCATGCGCATTGAAGTTCAAGTTAATCAGATTATTTGAATATTTTGCACACATGAATTATATGCTTCTTAGCACTTACCATTAAAAGTTAACCACAATAAACAAACCTGGTGGAGATTACCCTTACTTCCTTTTAGCAAAATTTAAATGTGAGCTCAAACTCGTGACAAATGCATTATGCACTCGCTGGTATGAAGCCTTGGAGACACTCATTTTGGTAAATATGATTTACGGTGCATGTGGTGTATACTTTTCTGCAGTTTGGGACATTTAATCTTAAATTCAAGAAAATATGCCAAACATTCAACTTAGTTGGGAACAAAAATAAATGACAGGTCGATTTTTGATCACCATTTCCTAATCATGGTCGTCTGAAAGCCCATAATTTTCAATATTGTCTAGCTATGAAAAATACATGCTGTCGCACATGTAATAAATTCTTACCTCAGTGTATTCAGTGCTCTATTTTCTCCATCCTAGTAAGTCCAAATATTGTGGAATTTGTGTCCATAATGACAAATAGGAACTTAAAAATTTGAAGTGGATAGTCACATGTTAATGCTGACTCTTCAAATGTTGAGGTGATTTTGGAGCCTGATTACGCCGCAAGGAGGATTGGCTCCAGAATGCAACATGACACATGTCAGCTTTCAAAATGCCATTCCGCTATTTTGAAACCTGTCACGAGTAAATAAGGTTAACTGATGTTGCATTCTGGGAGTCAATCCTCCTTGGATCACAAACATGGTGATTCATGAAAACATTTGTTCAATTTGGTAGGAATTTATTCATCATTTGCAGGTACGAAGCTTTGGATTCATTTATTATTATGCTACTTAAAGTGAACAGGAATTATTTTTCTACTACTTGGGAGAGTTTGAGACTCGAAACTTAGAATTTAGCTCATTGTGACAACTTTTGATGGTGGAGGTTTATTGTCTCATATCCCTTATAATTTGTATATTTTACATTTTGTATACTCATCCACTGATGTATGGTTATCCCGTTCCAAGACTATAGTCCTGTAACCAGCGCATTCTTTTGCCTGTACGATTACAACTTGGGAGAATTATCTACACCCCTTACACTTAAGATACCTACTTCAATAGATTCCTGGGTATTTTAGCATTCTTTTCGTGTAGTTGAATCCACAATTGTTTGGGTATATCGGTAGAATGGGAACATTTTTCTTTTTCATCGAGAGATATTCCGTCACTTTCCAAGATGGCGGTTGGATTTAAAAGGGGATTCCCCGTTTGACTGACCGTAAGTGGCTCGGACAACCAATAAATGGAAGAATTTGACGGTTTAAATAAGTTAAATATTACACGCAAATATTGCGATCAAAAACGAAAATTTCTTTGTCCTGCCGATAAACCCAGACAATCGTGGATTCAACTACACGAAAAGAATGCTAAAATACCAAGGAATCTATTGAAATAGGTATCTTAAGTGTAAGAAGCGTAGAAAATTCTCCCATGTTGTAATCGTACAGGCAAAAGAATAAGACGTTCGCAGGACTATAGTCCTGGCACGGGATAAATGTATGGCCTCTTGAAAATTCTCTTATTTTTAACATGGGAAATCCTCACTTCAGCAAATCCACCTGTCATTTATTACTGTATGTTCCAAACTGAATCAATTATTTTTCGTCAACACCGTAATGTCGTCGCTATAGTCTCGGCCACAGTCCTTGCAGCTATAGAAATGTGCAGGCTCAATCACCAATGAACAAATTGCTCGGAGATTAAAAATATTGAGTTGGAACTCTGTGAGCCAATCCTCCTTGGGTGAGCCCAAATCATTTTTTGAACAAAATAAAAATCATTCATATTTTTCAAATAAAGGCTAATTCTTTCAAAATATGGCCCAGTAAATGATATCAAGTCAACTATTCGATCAAATACTATAATACATACCTCTTAGATATATTTGACTGTTCTATAGAAGCTTGAACTGCTGTAATTTTGGATTATTCTGGAAAAAAATATTACACAAATCTAGAAAATTGGCCGGCCATATTGGATTTTGATCAGACCAATCAAAATCATTGCTACAAAATATTATTTCGAGTGGCCAATCAGAAAAGTTTTAACAAACTTGTAATTTCCCGGTAATGAAAGAGTTCGGCGTTTCGAAGAAAAAAGAAGAGAACACCGATCTGAGTTCATTTTTCATTTTTGACTCTCTAAATTCCTATAATAGGTGTATGGTATGGTATGGTACTTTCGAGATGTATATCTGAATTGATTGCAGTCTTCTCGATATAGTGATAACGCGGCATTTCAAACGCATAGGCCTACAGAGCTACATTTTCTGTGCAGTTTTATCATCGTGTTTTTCAAATATGACCAATGAGTCTTGATTTAGTGATATATCAAGAAGGACTCAAATAGCTGGATATAAAAATGTAGCTATATATTTATATGAGATATGGATTATGAAATGGACCGATTATTTGAAATACTTCAATTGCCTAACTGTTGGCTCAATGTCAATCTTACTAAGACACGCCCCCTTACATTTACCTGGCAACAATCAACAAACTTCACATCCATGCATTTCATGTACAGTAACATGCAAATGGATTATACATAAATTCTGTTACTTGATGTTTCATAGATTCACATCGATTCTTTAAGAAGAGGGTCAGTCTTCTGACAGGAGAGGTAGGGACTACACAACCTCCAGGATCTGATACTAAACGTAAGTGATTCTTTGGACTAGATTAGATATTAGACAACAACAAATCAAGTTAATATTTTATGTTCATGAATAATTGATGACTTGACTGCTTCTGTATCAGATATTGATTGTCAAGTCTTGATCTTACACTTATCACTAGTGGTCAGTGGCCTTAGCCCTCTTTACCTGTATCCATTGACAACAGTCATAGCATTCACAACAATATATAAGTCAAGGTGCTTTGGCATAGTATACAGAAAGTCTGGATATGTTTAAGTCACCATGACATTTAGAAATTTATAATGTTAGCAACATGACTAAAGGTCTGTTATATTTTGTGCATAAAATCTCTACCCTTCCCTAAACCAGCATGTGATTTACCAGCTATAGGTGTTTATTGTTTAATGTTGGTAACATTTGGGTTTTATTCTATCGTCTACTTCATCTCCCCCCTGTTTGGGGGGGGGGGTGTTGCAAAGGCTTGGAGAAAGAATTTATATAGTATATAACAAAATTAATTGATTGACTATAAAAGATAAGATTCTTGAAAAATAAATTTAGTAAAGGTGTGTAGCCATGTACATGTACAAAATCCCAAGGGATTGGCTCACTAAAGGACCCCCCCCCCCTCTTTGGATACCCATGAACTGAAATTGCCATTTTACTGTATATCAATATGTCATGGTTTAGTCTCAGCGTCTGTAACAAATAACAGGTGGTGACATTTTGCATGTTAATGCCTTGTCGCAAGATTATCAGTGTTTTTATTACTCGATACATGCTGGGGCCATGCCAACCTACCTTGCTTATGCTTTCAATAGTTTTGTAATATTGCTCCTTCTCCACATTCAATCATATGCCTCCATGCTAAAGGCATCACAAATAGAAATACTTGTACAATATAAAGTTGTAGCAGTTGTTATTTTTAAGGTTGTTTGATATCATAATAAAAGAGGACACATCGGCTATATCCCAAATCTCCTGCAGGGGAACACTCAGCCACCAGCCAGGGAACATACCCTTGAACCATATACATAAATAATGATAGGGTTCCAGTATAATTGATTCAAGAATGATACATGAAATACAATATACACATTTAATTTTCTTGCTTAAGCCTTAAAGCCATTGTGACCCATCTTGATCCATCAAGGTTTTACATATTATGACTGAAGGAATACTCTGGTTTAACAGTATGATTGTGACCCCCTCAACCACAATATGATTGTGACCCCCTCACCCACAGTATGATTGTGACCCCCTCACCCACAATATGATTGTGACCCCCTCACCCACAGTATGATTGTGACCCCCTCAACCACAATATGATTGTGACCCCCTCACCCACAGTATGATTGTGACCCCCTCACCGACAGTATGATTGTGACCCCCTCACCCACAACATGATTGTGACCCCCTCATCCAAAATATGATTGTGACCCCCTTACCCACAATATGATTGTGACCCCCTCATCCAAAATATGATTGTGACCCCCTCATCCACAATATGATTGTGACCCCTCATCCAAAATATGATTGTGACTCCCTCACCCACTATATGATTGTGACCCCCTCAACCACAATATGATTGTGACCCCCTCACCCACAATATGATTGTGACCCCCTCACCCACAGTATGATTTTGACCCCCTCACCCACAATATGATTGTGACCCCCTCTCCATAGTATGATTGTGACTCCCTCACCCACTATATGATTGTGACCCCCTCAACAACAATATGATTGTGACCCCCTCACCCACAATATGATTGTGACCCCCTCACCCACAATATGATTGTGACCCCTCACCCACAGTATGATTGTGACCCCCTCACCCACAATATGATTGTGACCCCCTTGTCCAAAACATGATTGTGACCCCCTCATCCAAAATATGATTGTGACCCCCTTACCCACAATATGATTGTGACCCCCTCATCCAAAATATGATTGTGACCCCCTCACCCACAATATGATTGTGACCCCCTCATCCAAAATATGATTGTGACCCCCTCACCCACAGTATGATTTTGACCCCCTCACCCACAATATGATTGTGACCCACTCACTCATAGTATGATTGTGTCTCCCTCACCCTCAATATGATTGCAACCCCTTCACCCACAGTATGATTGTGACCCCCTCACCCACAGTATGATTTTGACTCCCTCACCCACTATATGATTGTGACCCCCTCAACCACAATATGATTGTGACCCCCTCACCCACAATATGATTGTGACCCCGGGCCCCCTCTCTCCCTCACCCACACATCTCACCCCACAAGTAGGTAGATATAGTGATGGTCCAGTGACTTGCTGCAAAACTAATTATATAACTCACTTGTTGATCATAAAGAAAAACTTCATTTTCAGACATATCAAATTGTTACTTTTTCATTCTTTTAACTTTTTCTTTATAAGTGAGTGCAAAATTCTGTAAAAAAAACATTTTAAGTGTGTGCAAGATTCAACTTTTAACTACAATTTCTTACAAATGATGCCTGGCCATTTTCTTGAAATGATGAAATATTCCTTTTACCAAGTATAATGTTATTAACCACATATCCCAAGACTTGATACAATTATTCAAGATTAATTTTGTATTTCATTTAAAGATGGCATTCTAATAAGATCAAAATGATTATATCTTCTAAACACCTTGTTATTTGAGTTTGAGCAATTTCAATCCACAACCAGTTCTTCCAATGTTTACTAAATACTTGAACTGAGCTTGTACCAATATTTATTTTCAACTTCCCTGAAATCTTGTTCCTACCACTCATGCTTGTATGCCTTAGGCTTATGCAGTAGCCAAGAATTTGAGCAAAAGTTATGTGCCCAAGTACCCTGCGCGCAGAGTCTAGTTAAACTACACTCTGCCTAGTAGAGACCATATTACAGTTAAGTAGCCCCGCCCCCACGGCGGGTACCGGTGACAGTTTGGGTGATAAATCACTTCTGACCTACGCGCTGACATTTCTTCCACCAATCAGCGAGCTCGAAGAAACACACGCCAAATGCGTTCTAATTAAATATGCGCATGTCATTGGTCAATTCCGGGCTCAACGATGACGTCAGAAGAAATGACCATATATAGAACGTCGGTCAAATTTGGCCGACGAACACTGATTGGCGCGGTGAGTTCACAGGTTTATTTTAGTTTGAAAGAGTGAAGACGAAGCTCTCTTTTAAGAAGTGAAGTCAAACGAATGCAAAGGGTAGTGCCCAAGAATCCAATATTTCTGATTATCAATATTTTGCCAATTATGTAAACTCTAGGAACTGCTGAATAGCTATAGATATAATGATAATGAAAAGACTAACAAGTTAGGTTTTCATAAATGCTGCCTTTTAGTTTCAACATCTTTTGAAATGCACTAAACAACCAAATAAGAAAATACAAATGGCAACATTTGAAAAACACAAAGCAAACTCCTACAAACCAGACATCAAAAGTCGATTAAGAGAACAATTCATAGGATATTGATATAAGGTAGTGAAAATCAGCGTTGTCCAAAGCATGTAAGAGTTGTGTTTATCTTACTTTATTATGTATACAACGACTATTACATCAAAGATCATATATAGTGTAAATAATAACCCTTACATTATTCATTTGTGCCGTCTTGTCTTGTCATTTGTATTAAACTCAAAAAAGATCTCATTTTCTTAAATTAAATTATTTCTGAATATCTAGGTCTTATAAGTTGCGAGAGTTTATAATATTTCCTTCTTTTTTCATAAGTTTTATTGATTTGATAATTTTGGCCTAAAATTCCTGTAAGGGGATTGAGACAACAGCGGCGATTAGGGTCATGCTATATACATAGAAACGGGAAAGTTCGCTTTGTATTCTCGTAGACCTTTACAGACCTAGTCCTTGGCAGATGTTCACTTGCATAGACTATTCTATGTTATGTTTAAAGATTTCAATCGACAAAATGTTTCAAAACCATCGTGAAAAGATTAAAATAATATTTAAATAAATTGATGGATTGAAATCATATTTGCTTAAATATAGGAATGGAGATTAGTTTTTTGCAATTTCTAAAAAATGAGATTGAGCATTGAAGTCTGGATAACATCACATGTTGGACGGATTTACAGGAAGATCTGATCAATGAGGAAAGAGAATATTGTGCAATATCCTGAATCTAATATTATGAAAAGTTCATCAATATAAATAGCTCATTACTGTGATGTATTACATAGAGAAGATATCATTTAGAACAATGCCATTTAACTACAGTCGAGTTTCATTTGCTAATAGGATATAAAACAAGATAGCTTGATCGCGTGTCAATAAATTGTAAAACAATTTTCTGAACAGATTTATCGGGAAACTTGATGATGAAAGTCTCGAACAGTATTGAAGCATTGGAATTGAAGAAATCAGTAAGGTATAAGTATTGAGTAATTATGATCATAAGTGTTGAGTTTTGTAAGTATTGAGTATACTGTTATAAGTGCCAGTAGTTATGAGTGTAAGTATTGAGTGAATATGAATATAAGTATTAAGTAATCATTAGTATTAGTATAAGTATTGAGTAATTTTGAGTATGTAAGTATTGAGTAATTATAATTATTACAAGATTTGAGTTATTATCACTTTAAGTATTGAGTTACTAGTGGGATGCAAACTCACACCTTATGAAGTTACTTATAATGATCATCAAAATAGATAATTTGCTCACTTATATTTACACATATAAGTCTAAATGAAAACACTAATCAGTGATCTCCCTAGCATTAAAGCAAGTGGGCGCAGCACCCACCTGAGATTTCGAAAATAGGCTTGCACCCACATGAAAATCTATTTGCACCCACATGAAAATGAAAAAATCATGAAAAATGGGCATGTTTTGACCAATTTTGGTCTGAATTGTGAAAATGAGAATTTTGCACCCACTTGAGAAAAGATCCTGTGGAGATCACTGCTAATGTAAAGGTTTTCATAAGAATTTCCAAAATATTTTTTCTCTTTTGTTTCAAGAATCATTATAAGTAAGTTAGTCATGTGTGAGCTTGCAAAGAAGATACTATTTTAGTACAACATTGGTTCTTTTTAGCATAAATATTGAGTTATGATGAGTACAGATATTGTTATTAAGAGTCTTCATTTTGAGTAGTAGTAAGAATAAATTGTTGAGTTATTATGAGTAGAAGTTTGAGTATATTTATTGAGTTGTTATGAGTAAAAGCTTGAGCAATTGAGTTTATAAATATTGAGCAATTATGAGTATAAATATTGAGTACCTGTGAAACATAAATTTTTACTATAAATATTGAATAAATATTAAATTATGAATCATATAAGGCATTGACTAATACAATATGTTCTTAATTATTATTAATTAGTTGAGTTGTTTGAGTAGAAAGATTAAAATTTTGAAATAAAAACTATTGAAATTCATTAAAGATATTGAACATGCGGAATGCATTTATTATTATAGATATGAAGTACATGTAGTACTCTAAATCGCGTGGGTATTATTAATCAATTAATTTATGTAATGCTTTGTTAAGAATGGTCAAAACACAAATGTCCATTGTCAATCCCTTGTTGCTATGTAAAGCTATAAAGTCAATAGTTTGGTTTGTTTGAAGACTCTATTATCATGAATGTGCAATAAATTCATATCTATAGATATTGTAGTTGTAACTTGTTGATTTAAGTGCTGGGTTAAGTTTATTTAAGACTTTGTATGAATGCCAGATAAAAGATTTGTAAATAGAAGTTCTTAGGATTTTTAGAACAGCAAAATTCAATTTCCTTTGAATTATTGACTGCAATGTTTATAATAAATGTGATTTATTAAGTTTTATGCACTTTTTGTTTCAGTTTTAGTAGCTCTCTTACAAGCGAAGAATCTAGTATTCCTAGTACACCTGTGGAGAACCAGGGGGAACTACAACAGAAGTCAATACTAAAACAAAGTCCAAAACCAACAGTTAGGCAAACGGGACCCCAGTCTGGATAAATTGAAGACAGAAGTTGTAAAGCTAAACAGAAACTGCTGAATTTGAGAAAAGAAAAAAGTACTGGAGTTCCAGAAAAACAAACTAAGGAAGAAGTTATTATAGACATACCAAAAAAGAAAGATTCCATTGTGATTGAAAAAGCAATTAAAAAACCTATAGAGTATACTAGCACAGAAAACATTGCTAAAAACATCATTAGTAATCACACAAAAATAGACCAACCCCCTCAAAGACTTAAATCAATTAAAAAACAGTCAGCTATTGAACCCTCTACTGAGCATTTTAGCTCAAATATACAACAGACTCCAACTAATGTATTAGAAACATCAGATATCCCTTATATCCCTTATATGTCAACAGAACCAAATATGTCTGGGACAATATATGATTCATATTGGTCAAGATGGGAGCGGCTCCGAGAAAAATTGCTGATGCGAGATTTAAATAGCCGATTTGGGGACTATTGCAATCGTGTGAAGGAACTGAAGCACCAGTATGATACACCAGATTCTATGCCATTCTTGGCATCAATAAAGATCTTAGAAGATGAAGTTCTTTTGCTAAGGAAAAGTTATGAACATGAAATAGATAATATCAGGTATGCTACATGTATATTAAGCTATTTTTAAAAAGTAATTAAAAATAGTGCCAAAAATTATATTAGATGGAAAGTGAAGAATGATGGAGGCGATCTTTTCAAAAAACATGCCATTATTTTCCTTACAATCCAAGTTTTATGTCTTGAAAAAATTCCCCTTATTGATTATCCTAAAATAAAGTCAGGAAAACTTTTTAGAAAATAAATATGACTTGGAACAATGAGAGCAAAAAATATTGTAGAATTATGACAATGGCTTTGAAACTTTAACTCTCTCAATGTCTTTATCTCTTTTAGTCCCTTTAAGTTAGAGTTGTACCCATAAACTGATTCGTGAACTATAAATATAAAGTTTATTCACATATTGTATCATAATATGATTACATTGGTCACAACTACTCACTAAAAGATGAACTAAAACTACTTCGCCATTTACAAAGTATATAAATAAAGCGTTGATTTATTGATAACTTAAACGAAACAGACAAAAATTACAAACCTTTCACAAATTAAGAAATTTTTCATATAATCATAACTTTTCATAATTTTCCAGGAGAGAACTTGATGATTTTGTACGCCTCAAAAATTTCTATGCTGCAGAGAGTGACAAGAATCACAGATCAGCTGTAGATCTCCAAGATAGGTGAGAATTCCCAAATCAAAATAATTGAAGTCAAAAATTAAGAAAATGATCTGTTTGCTTGCAGTAGTGTTATCTAAGCATTTATATCACTGTCTACTTTTTTCGAAAACATTTGTTTGTACAAGCTACAATTACAATGAATGTATGGCATTCAGATACAATAAAAAATATTGTCAGCAGAATGCATAAGGGGCAGTTTGTTAAAAGAATAAATAAAAAAGAGACATGTCAAATTTTTAACAACTACATGTACATGTACAGGGTGTCCGGAAAGTAAAGATACAAATGCTCTAATTTCAACAGAGTTACCTGTTGTGAGATGAAATTGCTACAGATTGTAGAATGACATTTTAACAATTTATCCTGCAACTGTCATGACAAATTGTTTCAAAATAAAAAATTTATGGTTGTTATGGTAACAGGAGTCGCGGGTATGTGGAGCAGCGTCACAATCATGTTTTATAATTCTTTTCTCCAGTTCATATCATCTTGACACTTTGTCATCTGTTGCTATTATATATCAAATTATGTACCACAACAGCAAAAGGATTAGTACTGTAACATTATTTAGTCATTTTGGCATTACTTCTGTTATCCGGTATTATGTATTTCCCACCATTATCTTAACATTCTTGGTGCATTTTGACTGGAGATTCAGGCCCGTAAGACACTTTTCTCCAAGGGGGGTGCGGTTTTTTGCTTAAGAGAATATAAAATTGTCATTTTTTTGCCGCGTAAATCAAATCGCGTAAGACAGAGGGGGGGTCAGTTCCTCCCTGTATTGGTTTGGAATTAACACCCCAGACACATTTCCTACGGCGACCTTGTGGTCTATCATTTCTGCGGCCAGTAGCTTTTCTACGCTCGCCGCAGAATTTCTGCGCTCTCATACTTTTGCAGTCACATTTCCCACGGCAGCCGCACGGTGAATTTTAAATTTCTATTGATAAATAATAGTTTTTTTTCATTTTATTTACATCAGGACAATTTATAAATGTTATTCAAAGTGCTAGGATGTAATATCAAATGAAAAGTGATCGTGAAACATTGGCAAATAATGATTCAATCTTGTTGAGTTATAATTTCTACGCCTTCCTTGCGGCCTGTAAAAATCTGCATACGCCGTACGGAGGCCGCAAGGCGAGCGTAGTTTTTCTACGCTCGCCGCAGAAATTCACCGATTTTATTGTTCTGCGGTCGACTTGCGGCCGCCGTGCGACAAATGTGACTGGGGTGTTACAAATGCATGCAACTTCCAAACGTTCCAATTGTTTTGTGAGTGGTGTGAGGAGTTGTCCACTCCCCCTAGAAAATGTTATAGTTTTGAGATGTTATTTGGTGCTTTCTGGGCACTTTTGAAATTTTGAAATTTGGTTGTATTTGGAGCGAATTTGCAACCATCTGGTACGCCTGTGCGTTATGAGTCAATAAGAAAAATGTGATTTTTTTTTTCAAATTCTTTTGGGGGTGTCAAAGAGGATGAGAGGGTGAAGTGGGGTGGGGTGCCAGTAGAGGAGCAAGGGGTTGTCCCTCAGAAACATTGACCATATCAAGGTGCTATTTGATGATGTCTGGGCACTTAAAAAATATCTGAGACAATGCATGAAATTCAGAATATTTTCTTTTGCTTTGTGGGGGATGTGAGGGGTGGCTAACTCTCCTAGAACATTTTACAATTTAAAGATGATATTTGGTGCTTCTGGGCACTTTTAAAGTGTATCAGTCAATAAAAACATTGAAAAACAATCACAATTTTTCAAAGTTGTCAAAGGGGGGAGGGGTGCCAGAGGGGGAGGTGGGGTGCCAGAGGGGGAGCAAGTGTTTGTCCCCCATATCAAAATTTACAATATCAAGGTGCTATTCGATGAAGTTTGGGCACTTAAAAAGTGTCTGTGCCTAAAAGTGCCTATTTCCCAAGAAAATTTTACAATTTTTGGTGCTTTCTGGGCACTTTCAAAGGGTATGAGTCAATAAAAAAATTTGAAAAATCTCTCTTTTTTTGGGGGGATGTTAAGGGGGAGGTGGAGTGGGGATGCCAGAGGGCGAGTAAGTGTTAGTCTTCCAGAATCGTTAACTTTATCAAGGAGCTATTTGAAGATGTCTGGGCAATTTAAAAGTGTCTGAGACAATACATAAAACAAATTCAGAACTTTTCCATTGTTTTGTTTGGGGTGTGAGGGGTGAACCACTCCCCCTAGAAAATTTTACAATTTTATGACGCTATTTGGTGCTTTCTGGGCACTTTCAAAGTGTAGTGTCAATTAAAGAATTTGCGAAAATCACAATTTTTGGGGGGGGATCAAGGGGGGGGGGGCGCCAGAGGGGGGGGGGTATGCAAGTGCAAGATGCAAGAGGGGGAGTAAGTCCCCCAGAAACACTAACTATATCAAGGAGCTATTTGATGATATCTGGGCACTTTAAAAGTGTCTGAGACAAAACTCTAAAATAAATTTAGAACTTTTCCATTGTTTTATGGGGGGTGTGAGGGGTGGCCAATACCCCTAGAAAATTTTACAATTTTAAGATGCTATTTCGTGCTTTCTGGGTACTTTCAAAGTATATGAGTCTATGAAAAAAAAATTACAAAAAAAATATTTTTCAAATTTATTTTGGGGGTGACAAAGGGGGGTGCGGTCGCACCCATCGCACCCCCCTATCTGACGGCCCTGAGATTCCAAGACCTTACAAAACCGCCGCTGCCCATTTCTAAGATTGCTGCTAACATTGGCTTCAAGCCGAATCTCATTTTCAATGTGAACTTCTAACAAATATTGCTTTAAGATATTCATTAATACAAAAAGGTTTAATGTCAAGACATTCAATTGTGAGATTTGATTTCTTTGCTTTGTGAATTGGTGCAATGACTGTGGAGGTGCACTATTGACTTTTCTATTAATCCAGGGACCCTTTTTCTAAGCACTTATATACTTTTTCTTTGATTATACTGGTGACATAACATGGTTGGTATGTATCAATGATATCATTAAACTAAAGACAATATTATGGCAGCAAGAATACAATATTGAACAAAACAAAACATTGATAGGAAATACCAAAATAAACACTGTTTCAAATGGTTATATTCTAGCAATTTATCGCAATTTAGTGATATCCTGGAACTGCTCCACATACCCCTCACCACCGTAACCATGACAACCGTAACTTTAACACGTTTAGACTGTATGTTATAAAAGTTGGTAGATGTATTGTAATAAAGTTCCTCTACAATCTGTAGCAGTTTCATTACACAAAAACTAAAACTCTTAAAATTAGAGTATTTGTATCTTTACTTTCCGGACACCCTGTAATGTATAACCAAATGATCATAGAATGAATAAACGCAAGGAGCACACACATCTCGTGGTTACGGCCCCAATCGCCTAGCCTAAAAGTGCTGGCACTCAAGCCCTCTCGGCCAACTCGACAACCCCAAAAAAAGGTTGTTTTGTTAGTCGATCTGACTAGAGGCAGCTGATGTTAACGCTCAGACACACCAGAGGAAGCACCCTACCCTTTTTTCCCTTTTATAACACCATTGTTTTTTCTTAGATTGTATTGGGAAAATGACAGAAACAAACGTGCCAATGATGAGGTAAATGTTCTCAGCCGTAACGTCGCCCAGAGAGACCAGGAGCTCCATGATGCGAAGATGGCGATACGGGCGCCCATGGAAGAATTAGCCCAGACAAAACGTTTGGCGGATGAATATTCTCGACAGAATGGTGATCTCAAATATAGGTCAGTAATTGTACCTCTATTTCCCCCAAATATTTTAATTAATGTAACTTACATATGCTCAGAAATTGTTATAGTCTACAACTTTTTTTGAGGATGGTGTTCGGTGTGGTTGGTGTTCAGCATTTGGTGTCTGCAACAAATGACAGGTAGTGACATTTTACATGTTAATGCCTTCTCTGTAAATGTGAATACTTCTGATACAAAAATGACACATATTTTAGGTATGAAGCTGAGCAGAGGCAACGTCTTGATGCAGAGGATAGGTGTCACCACTTGAAACAGAAAATTGATTTCGATACGAATATGCACGCTAAAGAAATCCAAGAACTCAAGGACAGACTCAACCAATCAGCAACTACTATTCTTCATCTAGAATCAAAGATCCGTCAACTCAGTGTCCCGGATACTACGACACCAGAGGTTATCCAGCGTGTACGGGACACAGCCGAGGCAGAAATACGACGTTACCAGACTGAGTCTGAGGAAGTGTTTAACAGAAATGTAAGACAACTTTTGAATATACATCCATGTTGTCTGATGAAAAAAGTCTTAAGGTGGGCAAAGAGTAAGAAATTCAGGATCATTACCCCAGCCTATTTATGTTAGCTTCAAGTAAATTTGACAGATTATTCATTAGATTCTGCCTGCCTTATTACTGAGATGCAAAATCATGTTTTATAAATCAAATTATAGATAACTTTTGTGAAACAACCCCTAGCCCCTTTATCTTAATAAATGAACATTTAATTTGTTAACTAACTTGGGAATTGACTGCATTAGTTATAATAATGTCCAATTTCAGTTGAATTCTTCATCAAAACATGGGCTTTCAACTAGAAAGTTCTAGTTGAAAGCCCATGATCAAAATAAGTCCAATTTCTGTTCTTATTCACCTTGTTATTTTGTCTTCTTAGATGACCCAGGTACAGCATCAGATGTTGGAAGATAATCGCAAGATAGAAAACCTGACAACAGATAATGCTCGTCATATGGGAGAAATTGACACTCTGCAGGCTCAGATAAGAGGACTACAACGTGAGGTAAAAACGAAAAATGTTCAAAATTGTGATCAAGTTAGAAACATAAATTTGTATAGTCCTAAAGTATCTCAATCATAATCATCATATGACACCCATCATGTACTTTACTGCTTTCATTACTTTGTTTTCTCATTTTTTTCACTGATCTTAATCAATCCAAAGTTAGGATGAAAATATTACTTTCTATATTATCTACTTCATATCTCTCATCCAAACTAAGAATTATTTATTCACTTTTTCTTCAATAGCAAATATCAAATGAGCAAATACTTTGGTTTGTTGTAGATTCAAGTTCTCGATCATCAAAAAGGTGGCCTTGAAACTGCTCTGAACAATGAGCGAATTAGAGCGCAGGAAAATGTGCGTTCGCTGCAAAACAAGATGCAAAGTCTGCAGCAGATGCTACTGGACAAGATGCGAGAGGTGAATGTGGCTAAAGATGCACAGGTTCCAATGAAAACTGAGATAGAATCTTACAGAGCCATTCTCGAAGCCGAAGAAAGAAGGTAAATACCACATGCTGTAAAAAGTTCTTAAAACCTTTGCACGAGATGCACAGCATCGAGTGTGAAGTTTAGATAATAATGCCTGAGTGGAATGAATCAGCCTCAACGTAGTTTTGGGCTTAAATTCTTTTCACACATTGTAAAATATATTCTAGGAAATCAACTAAAACATATACATATTTTCAACAAAACATTTTGCGAGGATCAATTTGGCAAGGCATCAAATTCATACAGCAGAGTCAAGTTGTCACCTTGACAACCATTCAATGAGTGACCTTGGTTGAGTTATTCATTATATAATGCAGTGAAGTTATATGAAATACTGTGTTTGTATTGGCTGGATGAAAAATTAAACACTGTATAAGACACGAAATAACCAAATCAAAAAGCTTTCTGATACAGATAAAAAAGAAAATCAATAAAGAAATGATTACATTTTCTTTTGTTGCTTTCAGACTTGGTTTGCCATGGCTTCCACCCCCTCATCCCCCCATTGCTCCACTCCCCCCAGTGACCTCCAGTCCCGCTGTCCTAGCTGCTCTGACGTCTCCCAGACTCATACCGTCCCCACCCCTCAGAATTCCCCTTGCCTCTCCCCCTGTCAAGACACTAACAAATGTCAATATAAATGACCTCCCTATGCCCCCCAAACCTCTCCGTCCTGCCCCACAGAAAACAAGTTATATCGTAGGGCCTGTCCCACAATCAGAATCCCCACGCGGACCGAGTCCCATATTAGATCCAGTTCAAAGAAGTTCTGTTGAGAGGCCAAGTGATCGTGCGAAATCTGCACCTGGGGGCCAAAGATCCCTCCCAGTAGTACCCACAAATCTAGGCCAAGGCAAAGATTATTTTGATGAGATGTTTAATGACCTTAAGAGAACTACGTTAAAGCGACCACAAAGTAGTCCCGCTGAGCGTCCAGAAACCTCCACATCACATGACTACACAACTGCGACATCTAGGTAAATGCAAATATCTTTTTCAAATTCATGATGTTCTTTTATTTTAATAAGCACATTAAATTGATAACTTGATTATATGTATTGTATTGATATATATGACAATCCAAAACATTCAGGTGTAATGCAAATATATGGACACTTGTATTGAACATAATGTATTAACATTATACACATATTGAAAAATCTACAGTGCATGTACAAGCATTCTGATTTATCAGTCCCTCTTTATCTAAAGCTTGTGAAATAATAGGCTGTGGATCCTACAAACTTGTGTGAGGTTTACACAGCGATAAAAACCAAATTATTGTCACATTGGCAAGTGAATATATTTGTTCGTTTTTCTATGTTTAGTGCCACAGGGAACATGAAGATCCTAGAAGTGAACCGAGATGGCCAGTATATAAGACTGCTGAATGACTCAGAGGAGAAGGTACAAATAATACATATTGCTAAAAGCTATATTTTGAGAAACTGTAAAACATGTTAATTTCACTTAAATATTATTTTCATTTAGACACAAAAAGAAAAACGTTAATTCAGCATGCTGCAGATTTCTTTAACTACTCCTCACATATATATTTTTATTTTTAATTGTTTCAGGATTATGAGATTGGAGGCTTCATGCTTCAGCAGAATGTAGGTGGTCACCCTGTTGCAGTGTACCGTTTCCCTCCACGTGTCACATTCAAAGCCAACACGACAACAACTGTGTATTCCGGGACCAACGACCCCATCCTCCACCAACCGCCCGAGTCTTTCGTCTGGAAGGAGCAAGAGAAGTGGGGCACAGGGGCAGAGTGTACAACTATCCTCTGCAAGCCTAATGGTCAGGCAATTGCATGGACGACAGCAGCTCATAGGTTCGCTAATGATGCATATGAGATGGATAGCCAACCAGGAACATCTACTAAGATCACTGACGATGTCGCACCAGACACCTTTGAAAATCAAGGTAAGAAAACAATTTGCCAAATTTTTAGGATGTGTAAATACTGAAAATTGCTTTACCAAATCTGTTTCTGTCATTCAATCTCTTTTTCCATTGCCTTGTTAAGCTGTGGAAATTCAAAAGTTTTATTTTTTGTCAAAGCGGCATCATTGTTCAGAGGTAGCGCATTTTGCTTTAGTATTGGTTGCTTAGTATCATTCTCATTAAGACAAAGTTCTTGAACTGGTATCAGCAAAATGCTGAAAATATTCAAACAACATCCAAGTATCTCTAGTATGTTAGAATGCCCACTGTAGCTATTTCTGAAGATGGTATATTGTAGGAGAATTCCTGTGACTATATCCAAGGTGAAGACTATAGAAGCAATTGAAGCTGGCAACAATTTCATGGTAATGATATATCCAAGATTAAAGCCAATGCTTCCTATTGTGAAACCAACGATACATACATTGTAACACGTCATGTATATTATCTGGTGTTTTAAAGCCTTCAAAACATGTCCCTATGCCTGTGATGAATATTACAACAACGCTCATGTTGAAGAACATTTCTGGTGCTGAGGTGGTTTTCTTTATTAGGGCTCTTGTAGATATTGTCATAATGCTTTCATTGACTGCATTTATCAAGGTTATCACGTATCCCTGCCAAATTTGAGGAATTCTTTCCAGCGTAATAGTTGTGTCAATGGTTGAACTTGTTGTGTCATTGGTTGTAGTGTCATTGTTTGTATCCATATTGTCTTCCCATAGTGGCCGCAATAAAACACTGAATTTTACATTATGGAAAAACAGATCTGGTTGTGTGACAAATACAATCCCTGCCGTACTAAGCAAAACTGCAAATAATTTGATGCAATTGAGAGATGCCTTGAGAAATATCCGAGCAAGAAAAACAACAAGGATAAGTCGTCCTGAGCTCAATATGCCGTAGATGCTCCCCATTCCAGCCATCGTGCGCAATCCCATCACCGTCATGACTTTACAAGATGTGAACATTGCGCTGTTTATTAAACTAAATACATTATTTTTAATTATTACATTTTCGCTCTTATTTGTTTTTCTTTGGGTTTTAATCAACCAAAATGAGGCTATGAAGAAATGGGGAATTATCCGGAGAAAGATCAGTTGAAAGTTTCCTATATCTCTATCTCTGAGCTCCTGTATACATAACGCACAAAATGTTACAGAGAAAATTGATAGTGTCCCAGTTAAAATGCCTAGTAGCCTCATATTATTGTTCCCTGTATTATTGTTAAACATAATTTAAAAGTTCTTGTCTGATAGCTAGTTTCATTTCACGTTACTATCCCATGAACTGGAATAAGGAGCATGTACTAATACAGTATAAAAATAGCTCTGCTCATATTCATTTTGATTCACCTATGATACCCCCACTCATATATTGAATAAAGATACATATAAAGGATTTCTTTTCATTATTTTTTCAAAAGAAACATTAGAAGTAGGCAAAACACAAAACGTTAATCATGTTTGTACATAAGTCCCAATACCCTTGATTTTTATAGTGTGTCAGTATTCAATATTTTCTTTGTAGTGACTTCACTTATGATATATCGATATATTTTGAGTTTGTGAACAATTTTAAAAGGCTTTGTTGACTATTGTTTGTAATTGAAGAGGTTTTATTGGAAATGTAGAGCTGAAATTGATCAGGGTAGCCCTGTTTTACATTGTTGCTATGGACATACAGAACATTATAATGATTTGTTATTTAGAAGCATTGGGTTAGCTTGTGAACTGAAGATGTGTATTCTCATTATACATCGGACATTCATTTTATATGATTCTACTAAATTAGAATTAAACACACAGCATAATGTAGATCTCTAGAGATATGGAATAAGATGAAAAAATACATGAATATAATAATACATTCATGATAAGAAAAATATGGAAAGAGTTGTGCAGTCTAATAATTGTTTTCACAAAATAAACCTTGGATATACACCGTACTAAAGCCTGATGATAAATATATGACTTATGAAAATCAATAAAGCGAGGTGGTTAATGAAAAAGATATTACAAAAAGTGAAAATGGAATCATAACACTGAAAACAGAACATGACTTATGTTTGAAATTTCTAAAACAGCAATTTAGAAAATAAGCAGTATGTTTCCTGTGATGTATACTGGTACCTCATCACAGTCACAATCAAGGTCAAATTCAGTTACATCATCAAGTTTAAAATCAGGTAAAGGGAATGATGAGCATCGCACAGAAATAACAAATTTTTAAACATTAAACTAGGCTAATGTTAGCAATATAATTCATATGATATGATTTATCATTCACAAAATTGCGATGCATATCTAAAATGGCACATGAATATATATCCATATCTGCATTATGTATAACAGAATAAAATAGTACATAAAATGGTTAAAATGTTTACACTTCAGAGCCAGACCAAGAGTATCGTCATACTGGAGACGTTTATGAGGGAAGACCAGGGGAATACGAAGGTGACCTCACAGAGATCAACACTGGACAAATCAATCAACCTAAACCTGAACCTGTATATTTAAAGAGGTAAGTAGGCATGGCAACCATTTCATTTCAAATTAGAAGTGGAAGTGAAAAATATCTTAAAAAAAAGAATTATGTGTCGAAAATCATTTGCAGCCATAATGTTTGAAAAAATCAGCAATGAATAAATTCAGATCTATCTTCAAAGTTAAAATGCATAATTGGTGAAAAATTACAATTTTTATTCTTAGTATTGTATTTTGAGTTAAGTCTGAATTTTGTGTTGTAGAGAGAAAGCCCAGCCTCCGAGTTTATCACCCCCAAAGCACCCCTATGGCCAGGCTCCTCCCTTCTCCACCCATCCCCACTCAAGTACCCAAAGGCCCTACACCATGGGTAATGACAACAGTAGCGTCAATAGGCAGTCTCGCTCACAGACAACTCGACCAGATCCCATCCAAGGTGAGTACCATACTCAGATATCTTACTTCAAAATTATGATAAAAAGAATCGCCTACCAATTATTACAAAATTGACCCAAAAATCACAATTCCGCAAAATTCAAAATTCCACTTGTTTTTAAATCTTAAAAACTGAAAAAGAAGTCACAAGTTTACAGTTGTGTAAGAGTTTTGTTTATTTAGTTCAAAGCTTCATTTTACAAATTATAATGAACTCTGTTGTTCTTTTAGAAACCACTGGTTCTATGATATTTTACAAAGGTACATAAATTATTAATTTATTGCTTTATAAATAATCTGATATTATAGGCTTTATCTTGATGTAAATGTTCATGTGTTAAGTTTTTATGTCACCACCAAAAGTGTTGACATATTGTTATTGTCTCCAGCTTTTTTTGGATAGTGTTAAGTGGTTGGCATTTGGTGCTTGGTGTCGGTAAAAATGGCAGGTGGTGACATTTTGCATGTTAATGCCTTGTTTATATTTGTTTATTTCATAGATGTAATAGATACAATAGGTCATACAATACATTTTGACAAGGATATATAACCTTAATCTTATATGTATGTCAAATTGTTTGTACCAATTTAGAATTTAGTCATTGTGAAAGCTTCATTCCTAAAAATTTGTATTTTTACTTCATTCAGATTAGGTTAAGTGTAGATATATGTAGTGTGTTGAGACAAAAATGTTCGTGTCAAGACAGAACTTTTTTGTGTCAAGACAGATTTTTCTGCAAATATTCATTGGTTAGATTAAATTGTTTACAGTTCTAAACAAAAAATACAGGTTAGTCTTGAGGAATCCTTTACTGTAAGCAGAGACATATAAAACATGTCTCTGCTGTAAGACAGATTTTTATGAATCAAGACTTTTTTGTTTGAAGATAGAATCGATATGGTCCATATTGAAACTTTTGTATGGAGATATGTATGCTTTGCTTCAAAACTGGAAATATTTGTGTCAAAACAAAACTAAGAGTTACGACAGAAACTTTTGTGTTCAAATATGACATTTGTGTCAAGAGAGATATTTGTAAAAGTTTTCGTAAAAACATGATTTTATAAAATAGAATTTAAATATGATCTCATTAAACTTATGACAACTACATATATTATACTTCATATTTTCAGATTGTCAACATCCCTCAAATAATATTGAAATATAGTTCATGAATTATCTCTTTTATCGCATCTATTGTTTGATTAAGGCCAACCCTACGCTGGCGCATCTGGAGCAAGAATGGGCAGTGCATCACTTAGACGCCCCCCTCCCATGAAAGAGACCCGAAGTGGAAATGTGGCAAATAAATCGGTAAGTTAGACTTCATTAGCTTTGTAGAAGAAATGTTGTATATATTTTCAGTTGAAGTTCTTCACCTTTCTTCTGGAATATTAACTACCTTCAGGCCCGTAGCCAGGATTTGCCAAGGGGGGTTCATTTTTCAAAAATTTCCAGGGGGGGGTTCACATTTGACAATTTTGGCCCAAATATGGACAAAATCACTTGACAAGTGCTCAAAATGGTGAAAACTGCATGATTTTGAAAGAATTTTTGGCCAGGGGGGGGTTCGCCCGAACCCTGCGAACCCCCCCTGGCTACGGGCCTGACCTTTATGTTTCAATTCATATGATATTTCACACATTCACATAACCACAAAATAAACTTTTGCAAGGGGGTAATTTCAGATAGATATTTCCTGTATTTAGAGTTATATTTAAGTTTAGTCACTCAGCAGCTCACAGCTCTTGGGGTCACAATTTTTTTTCTTAGATCACTAACAGGGCACAATTTTTCTTCCAGGCGGGGACAATTCGCTATGGGTACCCCACCCCGTTCCTGTCCCCCTACCAGCAGGACTTTTCTGAGCGCTACGACAGTGGAAGAACATCGTCAGTAAAATTTGATATTAATTAGACTACATCTGTAGATAGATGTCCCTTGTAGATTAGGTAGAAAACTTCCCCACCCTCAGACCCTTGCAAAAGATTTATGTCTTGTGTTGTGTTATAACGTTTAGCTCAAATATGTACATGTATTGTGCAATGGGAAACTAACATCTTCAGGATTGATTTTAAAATTTACAGAATTCACATGTGTGTACTAATTTCAGATTTGTAATTTCAAGTTACTTAATTCTCTTTGTTTGCAATTATGTTGCTCTAACCCCAGTCTTTCCTTAATAGCATATTGCTCTTCATACTTACCTCAACCCAAGTCAATATTAGATTCTGGTATAATTAATAGCTAATGATGCAGATGCAGTTTTAATTTTTAAAATACTTCTGATTGTCGTTTGACAATAATGGCTCAAGAATTTGTCAAACATTTTGTAATTATGACTGTAAAATAAATATTAAATTAAACTTTGTCATGTGTTAATTTTTTAATAATTATTGAAATGTTCATTTTTTATTTTCAGAATAGCTCCACAATCCCAAATCCCGTCACATCTACGCCCCCAAGTCATTTCATGAAGCCCCACACAAAGTTTGCTGAAGGACTGAAGCAGATTCAATCACAGTATGACACAGAGCATAACCCTCCAATGCCTAGACCACCACTGTTCTCAACCTGGTAGAATATGGACTTAACCCTCTAATGCTGAGACCAGACCATGTCTCTTTTTAACTAATAGAGACTAATAGAATATGGACTTAACCTACTGCACAACAATGTTGACCTATATAGGTGTACAGAAGCACGGCCTTAGGAAGATACTTTTTGGCCGTATCATAGGTGACATAGACTTTATACTGAGCAATAGCTGTGTCATACATGCACTCCTACATAGATGTTCATCACTGGTGACATCAAGATAATTTTTATAGTGCTTAGATGTAAGATGTAACAAATAAGGTAATTTAAAGGTTAGAGACCCTGAAGCAGGGTTGTGTCACAAAGTGGCTCTAAAGGAATTATAAGCACTGTAGATTATTTTACAATTTGTTTCTTGCATGTTTGAAGATCTCGTGTAGTGAGGGGGGCAGTGATCCCAGATCATTGAATGTGATAAACATTATGACTTCAAGGACTTGGTTCCATTTTTTAAAACAAACTATCTTGTCTGAGAGAAGATTCCCTTTGCTATGGAGGATTCAATTCAATTCAATTCAACGAAGGACATCCTTTAATTTCTGACATTGCCTTGATATATTGACGAAAAGTGTCATACATGTTAATATATTAAGCATCAAATAATAAGTTTGTTTTAAATCGGTGGGCAACTTACTGGCTGAAATATAAGTACGACTTTTAGTATTTTGAAATCAAATACTCAGTATTACGTGGCTGTAGTGTCTTGTTAATAGTGCCTTTATTTAACAATGATGCATGATAAACTGATATTAAATGATGAAATGTAGTCAATGATTTCTTGTGATATGTAAAAAATAAAGTGCCCTAGAAAAATGCATTTCAGGAGGCACAACCTATTAAGGAGTTATTTAATAACATAAATTATGGAGTTTTACTGGTTTTCTTCACAAAATGATATTTTCTTTGGCACATTTTCTGTATTTACATTGGGCATTACTTTTTAAATTTTTGTAAATTTTTTATTAAAGATATTTCATAAGATATAACTGTTTGCCAAAATCATTGAAAATGTGGACTTCAGGTTGAATTGATGTGAGACATATCATGCTCAAATATTTTTGCTAATATTAGTAGGGCTAATGTCTTTGTTAAGAGTATGTATTAATACATCCATATGTATTGCTTTTTTTCTATAAACAAGTATAAAGTGTCACTGACTGATTCCGTCCAAGTATTAAACATAATGTCATTTTTATTACTTTTGTGATAAACTTTATTCTGATTTTTATAAGGCGAATAACTGAACATTATCGGTTCTGTAAATAGTGTAAAAATTTGTAAAAAAAATAAGCAAATAAAACTTCATAGATGAAATGTAATTAATTTAGTTGTGGATTGTATGTACATCTTTACAGATTGCTTTTGAATTAAACTTATTTCAATTTAGTCTATACTGAGACACATGTACTTCAAGTTTTTAGAGAGGGTTTCTCTAGCTGTATCTCCAATATTGGAAAGATGTGTTGGCTATGAGATGGATTGTTGTTTTGGTATTAATTCACATTCAAAAGATTCTGTTTAATCATCAATAGAACAGTTATAAGATATAAAAGGATAGTGTCATCAAATAGTCATCCAGCTGGACAGGATCAGTTGAGAGAACATAAAGCAAGAATTCTAGACAGTGAACCAAAATGAAACATCTTGACATCAAAATTACCAATTTCTTGAAAACCAAGAGGACTATGAAAATGGAGATGGCAAGTCCAACCTAGAACAAAACATGGCATGAAAAAGCAAAATGTCACCACCTGCCATTTGTTACAGATGCTGAACACCAACTGCCATCCACAAAAAGAGACTTTAACAATATGTCACCACTTTTTGTGACATAAAAACTATGTTTCGCCCAATTTCCATGAGTAAATGCCTCTATGCCAATAGCAACTTGCAAGTGTCATGTTGCTAGTGACTTATGTCAAAATTACCATTTTCTCAAAAAACTTGACAAAATGCAAATAGATGTTATGGATAAACACGATGAATGTGCTCATGAGATAATTGAATTTGTAACACGATATAAAACTTCCCATTGACTTTGGACATGTGAAAGCTCCTTAAAATCTTTTTCTGACTGACTTTCGGGAAAGCTCCTTAAAATATTTTTCCGACAAATATAGACACCAAAAACTGCTGCACCTGGTAACAACTGACTCTTATTTGGTTGTTCTACATAGTATTCTGTCTGATATATCAACAAAATGTGTCTTTTTATGTCAAAATTGCCAATTTCTTGAAAACCAAGAGGTTTTGAGAAATGGTGATGACAATGAAATACATACTAGAGATAAAACAAATGTAGATATGACTACTAATGTTGACGGGCAGACGGACCAACAGACAGATGTCAAGTCAATCCCAAAGGCTCTATGTGAGGTAAAAAGTATGGTTCGTGTGTAATATAAATTAATGTACCTCTCAAAAATAGATCCATAATATATAATATAAGGCAAGAAATCAGTTTGTTCATTTTATTAATCAATGCATCATTCAGCTGTAAGTTATACTGCACAAATTATCAATACCATACAAAAATTGAATGATCTGGAGTTGGATATCTGAGGGTGTATTCAACGGTGTCCAGAGGGTGAGTTGAAAACATCCCTCAAGGAAATTCATACAGATATCCAACAATGTCATCATTCAGTATTTGTTTTATCATTTACTATTATTCAAAAGAAGTATACAATATTGATGACATTTAATTCCTTCAAACGTTTGCCAGTATGCTGTTCAATATGTTGTTGATTAGATTTCGGATAAATTGATGCCAACTGCATATTTTCATGGTGACGTCATGAGAGAGAACAAGTATCACAGCATGGAAAAAATATAATTTAAAATTGTAAATAATGCTTAAAAACATTAGATTACAAATGTAACAAATGAATAGCTGCTTGAGACATGCATATACAACTATACACTTAACAATATGTTTAACCTAACATTCATTAGTAGAACATATCAAGAGTGGAACAGTTATCACCCCTGTAGCCAGGGGGTTTCAACCCCCATTCGACCAGAAATTCTTTCAAAATAATGCAGTTTTCACCATTCTGAGCACTTTTTAAGTGATCTTGGCCATTTTTGGACTTAACTGTCAAAAGTGAACCCTCCTAAAATTTTATAATAAGTGAACCCCCTTAGCTTGACAAAAGCTGGCTATGGGTCTGGTAATTCAAAGTCCTATGACATGACCCATTTGTACAGTGCATAAGCCACTAAATATTAACATAATCACAGAACTTTATTGTACTCTTAGACTATCTATACACTGGATATGTTTCTTATATTAAAGTTAAACAAAATGTAGTTTTAAAGATGTGCAATATCTTCAAATAAAGAGAAACTTCATAAGAGGAGGCTTCAAAAGTTCAATGTTGAAAAGAAAACTAAATAATTTCTTTTTCATTTAACCCTCTTCGCATAAACTAAATTTGGAGAAGGTTGATTACAAATGATATTAAAGTTTTAATGCTTCAGAAGATCTTAATGACTTCAAACTTCCATTGCTTTTAAATGGACATTGATATGAAAATGTAATCTACATCTAGGTAATGTACTGACTTAAGCCCTGAAAACCAGGCACATGCAGTTGTTTCTGGACTAAACATGTTGAGTGCCTGTAGTGTTAAGTTTAAACAGATGAGTTGAATCAATACAAAATGTTAAGGTATGGTCCAAGTTTAATTGAACTGAAACCTCTCCCTAAAATTAACATTTACACTTTACATTTGAAGCCTCCCCTTATCAGTTACCAGTCTCAGTTTTTTTAGAATACATGTACTGTACTCCTACTGCATCTTATGTAAATATTAATCCTATCAGTGATTTCTGAGTTTACTTTGTCTTTTCTTATTGCTGGGATCATTCCCAAATACATTTGCATTAATCATGTCAGCATTATTTACAATTGAGAATGGTATGTGTCCAGTTACCAATTCATATGTATTATGCATAGATATTAATATTAAACGTGCACAAAAAGCATTGATGTCCAAGTATTTGTGCCAAGCAAGTATTTGTGAAGATATTGTCTTCATTAATAAAGTTACTAAAATGTCCATGAGATAATGCAACCTTTTATAAATTTTACAAAGGGGAAAATGAACATGTATTTCCCAAGTCAATAATCTTTTCCTTCAATACACATCACTTTCTTGGAGAATGCAGTGGCCAGGGACACATTTTGGCTTATGATAAATCAGAGTTGCTCACAAACTTGAGATACAGAGCTAGAGAGACCCTGATAAATTAAAATGCATTACTGGCACAAAACAGAAATATCTGGTCACCTTCTCTTCTATCATCAAGTATTTCCTGTATAAGAGTTGTATTGATTTTGATTAATTTTGCAATTGGAATTCATAGCGTTCCCTGAAAGGACTCCTTGTCCTGTTTATCATCTTGCGGGGAATGACAATGACCAACGGAAGCATCTTCATTATTTGGTTCTCCCGACTTATCTGCCAGTCCAATAAGATAACCTTTGACCTCTGGGGTCATTTCAGAAATCTCCGATGCATCTGGTTTCTCAGTTAATTCCCATGATTCATCATTCGTTGTGACTTTTGCTCGACATATCGGACAATTCTCATGATCAGCACTCCTGCAAATTGATTGGATTTAGTCAATATTGTGGGATCAAAGTCAGATAAATCATTAAATATCATGTACATGTATCTAATCTAAAAACTCGAACCAGGAAGAGAGCAGTTACATACAATCACCTGACATCTGATGTAAGACCACTAAATTCTATAAATGCAAATTGTTGTTTTTCTGGTTTGTTTATCATACTAGAATCGTAACAAAGAACCTGTTTCTATAATTATGGCAAATATATGATCTCAGATTTTATTCTGGCCATTGTCAAAGACCTCAATCGCTACCCAATTTTGGTCCTTTCAGAGTGAAGAGATTAAAATTTTCGGTAATATATTGTGCCACAAATCATAAAATCTTGGTCTTTATTCCTTAAAAAATAAAATATTATTATTGTAGCAGAATGAAATTTAATGAGAATAAATGTGTTAGATATAAATGGAAAATAGAAAGAAATGAAATATTCACAAGATGTTTATTATAAAATATGGAATACATTACTGCATATTGTTTGTTGTTACATACCATTGGCTAATGCACTGTTCGCAATAACTGTGTGTACAACTCAGAACTACATCTGCCTTGTGTTCCATACAAATGGGACATTCACTGTCAACTGTAGGGGCACAATCTACTCTGAAATATGCATTTACACAAAATTATATACTGCTCCAACATGTGATATGTTATCAAATTTTATTAATTTTTGCGGATGATGTACTGTATGTGGCATCTGAGATTTCTGATATTTGATAATGGCAACACCAAGGCAATGCAAATCCCAGCATTCTATCAGTTCTTTTCTAGCAGGTACAGATGTGATCAGATTGACCCGCCGCATCACAAATTCATGTCCCATTATTCTTAATCATACTACTTTTTATCAAATTGTGGTACTAAGTACAGTTCTGAGATAAGCAATCACTTAGAATATCTCAAACTTAAGTGGAGCATTTGTTAAATGCAATATATGTTGATAACTTCCTCATCTACTCTGGTCTCTGTTGAAATACAATACTGTATAAATGTTAAGAATAATCTTCATTTGTCTGTTGAGACTATTTTAAAGGCCCACTATACTCAATTAAGAAAAAAAAGAAAAAAGAATCATTGAAACATGTTACTCCGACAATCACTCAAATATGAGCTTGATTTGCTTTAATATTGAACCAAGCAAAGAATAACTCACATAGAAAACAGCATTTGAATCTCAGAGATCATTAGTAGTGCAGTCTTTATTTTGCCCAAAAATGTTGAAAATATGCAAAGTGGGCCTTTAATTGGCCAGATTTTAGTTGCTCAAAATATGAAATCGGTAAAAGGTCAACAAGACATCACAATTTATATATTTTGCACTCAAAGACAGAGCCAGAAACCTTGGAAATATCAAATGCAGTCATGAGAAAACCAACCATGGAAATACTGAGACTGAACCATGGAATTATTAACCTTTGAAATACATGTACTGAGATCAGAATTCAAAAAGAAACCCCTACTTTGAGAAGACCTGTGCACTGAACTGGGAATCAAAGCATGGGGCTAAGCAATAGTAGTAACCTTGACTCTGCCAATAAGCCATAGCGGGTGGTGGGGCGGGTGGACCTAATAGTGGACCTAATAGTTTCATTAGTGAGCATAGCTGTGTGTGAACTCAGATCACATATCTTAGCAAGACTTCAGGAAATGCGCAAGAATGGGTTTGAAAGTGTGTTTAGAGAGTGGGTGAATAGGCATAAGAAGTGTATAGCTAGAGATGAACATTATGTTGAATAGCTTATTTTCATAACAATGGGACTTTAGGACTGTTTTTATATTGTATTTGTGGTAGTAATAGGCCTGGGAGTATGAATAAAGCTATCAGAAAGAATAAATATGTTTCAGAAAGTTGTGACATAAACAAACTTGCCCCGCCAATCAAATAGGAGACGCTTTAAATTCACAGAATAAAGGTGAAAGGGTTTGGGCTACAAACTCTGAAAAGTCCATCAACATTGGTGCAATTTTAAGAAAGTTACAATATCTTTCACCTTATTTTCGCGGGAAAATCCTAACACATTAGAAGTCAATGGGAATCATGACGGAAACGGGTTAATTTTATTGTCAAATTATGTTGAGTAGTGATAATATTTATGATAAATGTAATTGAATTTAATTAATTATACTCCCGTCTATATTCCCCCTTCTTTATATTGTTCTGGGGAATCAAATGAATAGAGAAATATTGATGTGAAGAGTCCAATGTTTCCTGTACATTTTCAAATTACGCCGACTGTACAAAACCCCATGTTAGTTCTTGACTGTCAAAATGTTAACATCCCATGGTAATCTTAAGTTTGTGTAATATTTTCTCATGGGGAGTGAAGAAGGGGGTACAGCTTAACCTTGAAAAAAAGTATTCGACTCTCAAATCTGGGCCAAAGCGTTACTTTCACTTACAATCAGCTACTTCCCAGCTAACAATTTTACGTTGTGATAACGTCGTCAGAATATATGTCTCAAGTTGTAGCAACGTTAAATATGGAACGTTGTAGGTACAGGAAGGTGTGGACTCGCACAGATGTTTAAAGAACGTTACATTTGACTTAAATATCACGTGTCAGGAACGTAGTAGCGACCTTAACAATTACGTCGCCAAAATAACGAAACTGTAACGTACTTACATTACGTCATATATACGTGGCCAATCTAAATTTCTGGTAACGTTGATATGGAACGTTGTAGGTACAGGAAGGTGTGGACTCGCATAGATGTTTAAAGAACGTTAGATTTGACTTAAATATCACGTGTCAGGAACGTAGTAGCGACCTTAACAATTACGTCACCAAAATAACGAAAATGTAACGTACTTACATTACGTCATAAATACGTGGCCAATCTAAATTTCTGGTAACGTTGATATGGAACGTTGTAGGTACAGGAAGGTGTGGACTCGCACAGATGTTTAAAGAACGTTACATTTGACTTAAATATCACGTGTCAGGAACGTAGTAGCGACCTTAACAATAACGTCGCCAAAATAACGAAACTGTAACGTACTTACATTACGTCATATATACGTGGCCAATCTAAATTTCTGGTAACGTTGATATGGAACGTTGTAGGTACAGGAAGATGTGGACTCGCATAGATGTTTAAAGAACGTTACATTTGACTTAAATATCACGTGTCAGGAACGTAGTAGCGACCTCAACAATTACGTCACCAAAATAACGAAAATGTAACGTACTTACATTACGTCATAAATACGTGGCCAATCTAAATTTCTGGTAACGTTGATATGGAACGTTGTAGGTACAGGAAGGTGTGGACTCGCACAGATGTTTAAAGAACGTTACATTTGACTTAAATATCACGTGTCAGGAACGTAGTAGCGACCTTAACAATAAAGTCGCCAAAATAACGAAACTGTAACGTACTTACATTACGTCATATATACGTGGCCAATCTAATTTTCTGGTAACGTTGATATGGAACGTTGTAGGTACAGGAAGGTGTGGACTCGCATAGATGTTTAAAGAACGTTACATTTGACTTAAATATCACGTGTCAGGAACGTAGTAGCGACCTAAACAATTACGTCACCAAAATAACGAAAATGTAACGTACTTACATAACGTCATATATACGTGGCCAATCTAAATTTCTGGTAACGTTGATATGGAACGTTGTAGGTACAGGAAGGTGTGGACTCGCACAGATGTTTAAAGAACGTTACATTTGACTTAAATATCACGTGTCAGGAACGTAGTAGCGACCTTAACAATAACGTCGCCAAAATAACGAAACTGTAACGTACTTACGTTACGTCATATATACGTGGCCAATCTAAATTTCTGGTAACGTTGATATGGAACGTTGTAGGTACAGGAAGATGTGGACTCGCACAGATGTTTAAAGAACGTTACATTTGACTTAAATATCACGTGTCAGGAACGTAGTAGCGACCTTAACAATAACGTCGCCAAAATAACGAAACTGTAACGTACTTACATTACGTCATATATACGTGGCCAATCTAATTTTCTGGTAACGTTGATATGGAACGTTGTAGGTACAGGAAGGTGTGGACTCGCATAGATGTTTAAAGAACGTTACATTTGACTTAAATATCACGTGTCAGGAACGTAGTAGCGACCTAAACAATTACGTCACCAAAATAACGAAAATGTAACGTACTTACATAACGTCATATATACGTGGCCAATCTAAATTTCTGGTAACGTTGATATGGAACGTTGTAGGTACAGGAAGGTGTGGACTCGCACAGATGTTTAAAGAACGTTACATTTGACTTAAATATCACGTGCCAGGAACGTGGAACCAACCTAAACGATGACTTCGCCAAAATAACGAAAATGTAACGTACTTACATTACGTCATAAATACGTGGCCAATCTAAATTTCTGATACGTTAATTATGGAACGTTGTAGGTACAGGAAGTTGTGGACTCGCACAGATGTTCAAAGAACGTTACATTTGACTTAAATATCACGTGCCAGGAACGTAGAACCAACCTAAAAGATAACTTCGCAAAAATAACGAGACTGTAATGTGCTTATGCAACGTCACATATACGTGGCCAGTTTTAAGTTCTGGTACGTTAATTATGGAACGTTGTAGGTACAGGAAGGTGTGGACTCGCACAGATGTTTAAAGAACGTTACATTTGACTTAAATATCACGTGCCAGGAATGTAGAACCAACCTTAACGATGACTTCGCAAAAATAGTGAGACTGTAATGTGCTTATGCAACGTAACATATACCTGGCCAGTTTAAAGTTCTGGTAACGTTTGTCTTGGACCGATGTAGGCACAGGAAGGTCTGGACTCGCACAGATGTTTATACAACGTTACATTTTACTTAAATATCATGTGCTAGGAATGTAGTAGCAACCTTAACAATGACTGCAAAAATAAAATAACAGACTGTAACGTGCTAATGCAACGTCACATATACGTGGCCAAGTTAAAGTTCAGGTAACATTAACTATAGAACGTTGTAGGCAAAGGAAAGTGTGGACACGCATAAATGAGTATACAAGTTACGTTCGACTTAGATATCATGAGCCAGGAATGTAGTACCAACCTTAACAACGACTTTGCCAAAATAAAGAGACTGTAACGTGCTTGTCATAACTTCTGGTTACATCAAGTTAGGACAACACATGCAAGGAATGTTCTAGTAACCTTAATTATGCCATCAACAAGATATAGTGATAGTAATGACTAACGTCCAGTTAAATGAATCATTACATGAACATAATTTAAAGTTCCTGTACAGGAAGATGTAGACACCGATGTTCAGTAAAATTATATATAACACACTAAGCCTAACATTTTCACATGTGAAGGTAAAACCCAACTAACTCATGCTTTGACTTATTAACAAATGTATATCGTTTTTCCAATAATTAATGAGTTAATACACAAGAACTTTTTTGAGCATCCAAATAGAGAATATTGACACACAGAATTGAACTTAAATATAATTACAGTCTCGTATGTCATCTATCAAAAATCTATCCTATCGTTAATAAGTTTTATTAAGTATTTTATTAACCCCTAAACGGTTAAGGGGGTGGGGAGATTTGCCGTTCTGGCTTGTCTTAAAATTGAATTAGGCATATTTTAACT